GTCACACAAAAATGGCATTGGCAACTGTTTTAAACCTAATGTTACTTCTTTTCATCACAATATTTTTTGTGAAAACAGGAATTAAAAAAGAAAAGGCATTTTCACACAAAAAAAAAATCCACATGCTCTACGACTTTTTTTAATTTTTACAACTACTGCGTCTGACATTGCACCCCGTTTCCGTTTCTGGGACCCTCTTCGTCTTCCTCATACGCTTCCCTACTGGCCCTTCTCTGTGACGACACATCCGGCTCACTGAGTTCCACCTCCTCCATGTCATCAGTAATCATCACATCCTCTCTGGGAGGAAGCAGTCTTTCCAGCTGGAACATGAGATGCTCTGGAAGCCAGTCTTTCTCTGGAAATGCAACCTGCGGGATGCATAACAATTTCCTTAAATAAATGTTTTCTTTACAGCATAACAATTGGTTGATATCCAGATTTCGGTCAGTGGGACAATTTTGTGTTCAGTGTACCTTACCTGGAACTTAATGATAAGCTGCCCTTTTTCATAAGGCTCCTTGTAGATTGGCATGCCCTCATTCTGAACACATCTGATGTCATTATGCTTGATTACTTCACCTGTTGACAGAAAACAAGGAAGATGTTTATATTTTAATTACAAATATAGTCTACCAGAAAAGGCAACACTGTAGGCGAGGTTGATTTCAGTCAATTACCTGGTAGTGCGCTGATGACGAGCGTTCTGTCGTCTAATGTTTGAATAGTCTTCTTGAAACCACACAGAGCCTCAGCTAGTTTGATATCCATCTTCATTATCAAATCCTCGTCTTTCCTCTGGAACAAGGGGTGATCCTTCTGATCCAGAACGATGATTACATCCCCTGGCTCCAGTCCAGGTTCCTGGTCCCCTTCTCCAGTGAATGTTATTTTCTGACCGTCCCTCATACCTGCACCAAACATTTATCTTAGGTTTAGTTTGGGTGGCAAGACACATTTGCACTAATACATACATTATTGCTATTATATATATTATCAAATGTGGAAAACAACATACCTTTGTCAATGTGAACCTCAAGAACTTTCTTCTTGCGTTCTACTTTGCGTCCATTGCAGCTCTTACAGCGGTCCTTGGAGCTAAATTTCTCTCCCTGTCCCTGGCAGTCTGCACACACACTCTGGATCTGCTGAATCATGCCAGGCCCAATCTGTTGCACCTTGATTTGAACACCTCTTCCTTTGCAAATGGAGCACTTTTCCATTGCACCTTTCTTCCCACCATAGCCTGTAACAAACAGGACAATGTCATTAACTGAACATTTAATCATTATTTAATATTTTGTATAAAAATTTTAAAAAAAAGACAACACTGCGTACCTTCACATGAGTCACAAATGATGTTCTTTTGAAGTCCGAGCTTCCTTGTACTGCCATTGTACATCTCATCCAGTGTTACACTAAGTTGGTGGACGACATTCTTCCCTGCAGGAAAAGCAAATACATCCAAATTAAACAGTTATTAAGTTGTGGATGTTAAGGCTAGTTTATTGCCTCCCATGAGAGATATATATCTGGAAGACATTTTTTGGGGGGGTGTTGAGTTAGGACATCCCCATAATCTTCCATGCTATTTTAGCCTGATTGAATATTTGAGCTTTAAGCTTAAATGTAAGATTTTCAAAGCAGCTGGTACTACAAAAACGTTCTTGTACAAAAGCTTTCAACATGAGTGTGCCTGCTGCTCACTTGTAGTAAGTGACCAGTGTGATGTCCTGGCCCGTGGATGGCCACAGAAATATAATCTCAAACTGATCTGGGATCTAACCCAATTTCTTCAGTTTCATGTTGAATGATGTGAAAATTATGCCAAATTAGTCAACAAACATAATCCACTTCATCAGTATAGCTGATGAAGTGGATTATGATATAGCTTGTGATTAAAAAAAGGATTTGTGTGGCCTCAAAACATTCATAACAAATTAGCCAAGTAATTTGTATACAGCAAGGTTTTTATATACAAACAGCTGCTAGGTTACTTTTATAAATCTTACCTCTTCTCTCTCTCTGCATCCTTCCTCCACCTCCAAAGAACATGTTGAACATGTCCATTGGTGAAGTTCCTCCTCCCATGCCTCCTTCTTTGATTGCTTGTTCTCCTCCTTGGTCATACAAGGATCTCTTCTCTGGATTTGACAGCACTTCATACGCTTGAGATATAAGCTTGAACTGTAACAATCAAAACAAAACAAATTTGAAGCATCAGGCTCCCTTCAACAATGCTCAATAGATATGTAAAGAAGTATCATTCAAGTAAACATCTCAGAATCCAACCAAAGTTAAAAAATACAATATAACATCAAATATAGTTGTATACATTAGATCGTTTTGCTAATATAAGGTAATGCTGCCAATTGCCAATGTAAGGTCACGTTGCTATGGTTAACAGGGTGTATACAGTATAGATTATATTAGTATTACTTGGTGTAACGGTTACATTATCATATTATCACATTGTGATGCTAATGATTATGTGTGTGCAAATGGCTGGTATCCTAAATGTATCAGATCAAGTCCATCAGCATAAGGAGCCTAAAAGTACAACTAACAACCACTTCCTTCATTTTATTTAAATTTCACAACCTACGGTGGCATTTGACCTCAGTTTCAGCAGGGCATATCTCCCTGTTCCTAAACAGAGGAGCTGCGAGCTTATTCCAGAAAGTTCCCAGGGTCAATTCAACAAGGCGTACAGTTTAAAATTAGACAGCATTTGTTACTGTCCATAAAGGGCTGCCGGATATCTAGCTACATGCTACTAACTTACCTTCTCTCCTTCATTGGGGTTCTTGTCGGGATGATATTTCAATGCGAGTTTTCTGTAGGCTTTTTTGAGTTCATCCTGCGAGGCTTCAGGGTTGACACCCAGTAACTCGTAGAAGCCGGTTTCGTGAACCATGGTGACAACCTAAATCTAAATAAAGCAGAAAACAAATCAGCATCCATCAAATACGAAGGGCCGCCAAAAACCATAAACCGTACGCTAGCTAACAACCGTGTTACTAAAACACAAATGTCCCTACAGCATGTGATACACGACGTTACAAAAGAACCGGTGGCTTAAATACAGTAGCCTGAAACGGATAACGTGAGTAAGCGTGGGGTTACATGACGATCAACCATACACAAGCTTAGCCTATATTACATTAACATTGAATGAAAGAGCTAGCATGTATTAGCCGTATAGCTAAGCAGTTTTTCAAAGCACCGTTTAGTGTAGGCCTACTTACTTGCTAGGAGATATTACTATTCTAGCTTAAGTAAGGGTTACGGTGAGGCTGGTGGAGGAAGATGGCTGGCTCTTCTTATAGTCGCTCGGCTCTGCGCTTTGGAACTTTCTGGAGAGCTGTGGGAAGAGTGGCCGGAAGTGTCGTTGGGCTGCAGTCTAGAAAAGACCAAAAGACCTGGGGGAGGGGTGCATGATCAGACTGACTGGTTCATCTAGGAACTTCACATTACCTTGTTTAATTAATGATAATGAAAATGAAGTTCGCCAAGCAATGTTGGAGAGAGTACCTCTAGGCTACAAATATAAAAGCAGAAAGTAAAATAATGCTTACTCATTCTGGGTTGGCTTTCTGTGTCCCCAATAAGCCTCCTCAAAAGGTTGGTGTTATGGGCATACTATTTTTATTATTATAAATGTAGGCAATATTTCTATGATTTATTTAAGTTGAAGCATATTCCTACGTACTATTATCTGTTTTTAAATTGTACCTATACAATATTGCCATGCAAAATAACTAACAGTAACCACGGCTGTCATATAATCTTAGTGGAGATAAAAGCACAATATTTGTTAATATTAGTAGGCTATATATTATTTTTATTATGTCATGAAGCGGTGGTTATATAAGGTAATTTAACATCCAACTCTTTGTAGGAAAGAACCACAAAGTGGCTACTATCAATATTTTTATAATAACAATATGTTAAATTAAAACGTGAAAGAACAATGTGAAAAGGTGTCTGGTGATAGTGAACATACATAATCATTAGCTGAACCTGCTGCCCCCAGGTGGCCAGAATAAATAAGATATTCCAGGTTTAAAGCTACATTAAACCAAAAATCAGTTTAGTTTTATAAATACATCTATATTATAAATACTCACCCAATCCTAAATTTGCAACTCATTGCTGTAACTCACCTAATGAAAGTATATATTTTTCTATATGCAGTTCATGTTATCCATCCTGTAACTACTCAACTATACGACACAAAGCCCAAACTTTGAAGTACTGCAATGGAATGTAAACAAACCAGTCTTTTAAAATAAAAAAACATTTTAAAATGTTCAACTTAAATTGAGCCCCCTAACCCTAACCCTATTAATTTCCATCAAGTGAAAATACTCAGGTAAGGTAGCCTACAAGTACCACTAAATTGTACTTAGATACAGTACCTGAGTAAATAAACTCAGTGTTTATGCCACAACTATAGGTGAGTGGCTGTATTGGTAGTTTGATACTTAACAAAAAAGTGCTACACTTCCGTCAAGTGACTATACTGTACATCAGAAGGGCTCAACATAAGGCAGCTCACATTAACCCAAGTGATCAATCTTTGGCATACTAAACTCAGATATTGGGTTATTATAATTCTCATCAGATATATGCAATTTAGATTATCTTAAAGTAGAATTGTTAGGATTTGGGTTTAACATGTATGTGTGTGATTTAACATTATAATCGTACTGTTTTACATATGAAAAGACTAAGCTCATTTAAATTCTGGACATGTTCTTGAGCCAACAGGTCCATGCAGTGCTCTCGAGGACTTTCTGATTTGTTCACAGCTAGTTAAAACTTCATGGGGCTTGCTGTTACCAGTTACTCTAAAGTCCTACTATTTAAGGGTGCACTTGTCCTGTAAGAAAACATTTTCTGTTTCATACCAGTCGATTTTGAAAAGGTTTTCCTTTTAGCAAATCAAGAGGCTAGATCCTAGAGGATTGTTTCACTACCAATATATCTACAACAGTATGGACCTTCCTGGTGAGGAGAATGGAGAAGATCAACTTGAAAACAGGTAAGCTATAAAAAAATGACTTTATCTTGAGGAGGAAGAGATGCTAGTCTCTTTAGACGACACTACTTTTAAGTAGAAGTTAAATTAGCTGCAGGAGAAGTTCGGCAAGTTAAGGCTGAGTGAACCAGATTCATTAGTTAGCATTTGAAATTACTACATCACTAAATTGGAAGAGTGATGAAAGTTGTACCGGATTTCGTAATTTAACACCAGCTTTCAGTATCAGCATCCTGTATACCTTGTATTCAAATTGATCGTTGCCAACACTTTATGGATATAGAAAAGGAATGGAGGCTTAAAGTCCAGATAGTCTCATTTCGAGACTTTTGTGAGTTGGGTTTTGTGAGTTTTAATGAGCCTGAGTAAATAAACTTGAGCTTGCATTGAAAATATTCTGTCAAACAAAACAATGGGGCTTCCGCTCTGGCAAAAGCCTGACATTGTGTGTGTTAAACAGCGCAGCTGAAAATTAGACCCATGTGATGACCGAGTGGCTCGATTGCCACAATGTGAGTGTGTATGAGCTGTTAGGCCCACCTTTCCTCTTTATTTTTCAGAGTTCAGGAGTCTATGGCACATGTGCAGATAGATGGTGAAGAACATGCCTCTGTAGGTGAGTTATGAGCACATGGGTCTGTTGAATTGAGTATGTAAACTTGTTTTCCTCTTGGGAATAACTAGATTATTTTTTTTCTAATTTCCTTTGTCCCTTTTCTCAGGAAGGAAAAACCTAGAAGTTCAGTTTGCTTGCACACCACTTGCTCAAGCCAATTCTCTTTGGACCACTGATGCTAAAGGCGCGGTGAGACTGAGAATAGAAGAAGGATGCCCAGAGGAACCGGTTACCGTTCACCAAATGTTTAAAGCCTCTGTTGAGAAATATGGAAACATGTACGCACTGGCCAGCAAGAAGGACAACAAATGGGAAAAGATAACTTTCTCAGAGTATTATCAATTCTGCCGGAGAGCAGCCAAGAGCTTTATAAAGGTATGTTTTCTAAATAAAAACAACGCATTGTGTGTAATACATACTAAATTATTTAAACTATTGAGTACTTTCAATGGACAGATTTTTTTTTAAAAGACAAAAATGTGTGCAGCTTGGTCTAGAACGATTCCATGGAGTGGCGATACTAGGATTCAATTCAGCAGAATGGTTCTTCTCTTCAGTCGGTACCATCATGGCAGGGTGAGAAAGACACAGCATCAACAGCTGACATGAATCAGCATAAACTGTACCCAAATATACAGTGTCTTTGTTATTAATGCTGTTTTTATTATTTCAACTGCTCATTTTGCAATGTTACATCCGTTAACCTTTTTTTCTCCTGTGACTGATGAACATTTTTTATTTAGGGGGATAATGACAGGAATTTATGCAACTAACTCACCAGAAGCTTGCCAGTATGTTGCAAGTGACTCCAAAGCCAACATTATTGTGGTAGAAAACCAGAAGCAATTGGATAAAATCCTGCAGGTACTGTCACGTATATAATATATAAATGTTTTTCTCCACATACAGAACATACTGTAAATGTCTCCCTCTTTATACCTTAGATACGTGACAGGCTGCCCCATTTGAAAGCCATAGTGCAGTTCAGTGGAAACCCCCAGCAGAGGATCCCAAACCTTTACTCCGTAAGTCCTCTTGATTAAATTATCAAAGTGTCTGTTGAGCTCAGGCTGTGACGCTATGTTGCTGTTTTGGGGTAGTGGGAGGACTTCATGGATCTGGGTCTAGATGTTTCTGAGGATGAGCTGGATGACATCATTGACAGCCAGAGAGCCAACCAATGCTGCATCCTGATCTACACCTCTGGCACCACGGGCAAGCCCAAGGGAGTTATGCTCAGTCATGACAATGTAAGTTTACTATTCTTAGTCCGCACTTACTCAGAGTTACAGGAGACTAAACGTCTATCTTTATCTGTGATGTGTATTTAGATCACATGGACGGCCAATCATGCCAGCAGGGTGGGGGAGATGCAGCCAGCTGACACCCAACAGGAGTCACTGGTGAGCTACCTGCCTCTCAGCCACATCGCCGCTCAGATCTATGATATGTGGACGGGCATCCAGTGGGCTGAGCTGGTATACTTTGCACAGCCAGATGCCCTAAAGGTAAATAAAATTGCTTAGATCACAGATATAATGGTTATAGACATAACAAACAAAGAACAGTGCACAATAACCCCTACCACAGACAGCTATACAGCACATCAGACAAAAAGGGGAAATAATTTAATAAGATTAAATAATTATAATATATACACAATAAAGAGACATAATAAAACCTAAATAGACATTGAATGTAAATGTAAATTAATATTCTAGTAAATAAATAGGGAAAATATTAATTCAAGTACCATATTAGGTACATATAAGATTAGGACTACAGCTATCAAATGAGAGTCTTTCATCTGTAAGACTTTTAGTAAATTAAAGTTAATAGCTCCACTGTGGGTGCAACTAGTAGTTTTCCCATATGCATTATTCTCCTTAATCAATCATGCAAACTACATTTTAGCTGTGCAAGAGACAAGCGGAATAATGTGGTCAATAATAAATGTCACTTGATTTGTGTGTTTTTTTTTAGCTCGGTTTGTCCCTTATTTGTTATAGGGAAGCCTGATAACAACTCTGCAAGAAGTTTGTCCTACATCTCACATGGGTGTCCCACGAGTATGGGAGAAAATGATGGAGAAAATAAAACAGGCAATAAGTGAGTGTGGATATGTGAAAAAGAAACTGGTGACATGGGCAATGTCAGTCAGCCTGGAAGCCAATCAAAAGTGTACACAAATGTAAGTGCTGATGAAACTTGAATATTTTTGAATAATTAAACTGAGCCATCAAATGCAGAGATTATTCAATAATATTGACATTTTCTTATGTTTTGTTTTAGGGATGATGACAAACCTTTCCTGTTCACACTGGCCGACAGCCTTGTGCTTCAGAGGCTTAGGACTGAGCTGGGTCTGTCTTGCTGTCAGAAGTTCTTCTCCGGAGCAGCACCGATCAGTAGTGAAACGGTGCAGTTTTTCCTGGGCCTGAACATCAGGTTGTATGAGGCATATGGCATGAGTGAGAGCACAGGACCTCACTTTATGTCAGGTCCCAGAGCTTACAAACTACCAAGGTAATACAAAATCAAGGATCGGAAAAACTGTATGTATGGTTATGTGTTTTTAAAATCATATTAACATATTTTTTTCTCTGACTAAGCTGCGGCAAGGTGGTGCCTGGCTGTAGATACAAAATGGTCGACATGGACTCTGAGGGGACAGGGGAAATTTGCTTTTGGGGACGTAACATTTTCATGGGTTTCCTCAACATGGAAGACCAAACAAGAGAAGCATTGGACGAAGATGGATGGTTGCATTCTGGAGACTTGGGCAAGATCGACGAAGAGGGTTTCTTGTACATCACAGGGAGAATAAAAGGTAGAACAATCTGAGCAAATAAGGCTATATTAGGAAACTTGCTTGTGATAGGTCACCAGCTCACGTTCTGTACATTTCCCACATCTAAGTGCAAGTTGTTCTGCACAGAACATACGTCTCCATTATCCCTGTTATCCATGTGATGTCAGGGTGCCCTCTCTCTCCATTCAGAGCTGATCATCACAGCTGGAGGGGAGAACATTCCCCCTCTTTCCATAGAGGAAAAAGTGAAAAAGGAGCTACCTATCATCAGCAACGCCATGCTCATTGGGGACAAGAGGAAGTTCTTGACAATGCTTTTAACACTCAAGGTATCTTATTAGATTAGCCATTAGTTATTATCCCGATGATGGTACGCTGTACTGTATTATTGACATTACCAAGGTCAGGGTTATTGCAAATACACCAATTACAGACACAAACTAACACTAACTAGCCATTTTCATCTAATGTTCTTCTGGTTAATCTCCTTAGAGAGAGAAGTGTAACCCCAGCAATGTATTTCCATGTTCCAGTGTTGTAGCGATACAGAAACCATGGAGCCAACGGAGGAGCTGAGTGGTGAGGCTGTGCAGCTTTGCCGACAACTGGGCAGCCAAGCAACCACGGTGTCTGACATCATCGAGGGGAAAGACAAAGAAGTGTACCGGACCATTCAAGAAGCGATCAACAGAGTAAACTCGACAGCCACCTCTAACGCCCAATGCATACAGAAGTGGGCTATCCTGAGAAAGGACTTCTCTGTTTCTGGAGGAGAGCTGGGTAAATTAAGCAGCACATGGATAGGTTGAGAATGTTGTATAATAAATAGATTACACTTTTATATTTAAAGCAATTAAATTGTGAGACAAACTATTGCTCATTATAATTATTTCCTCGTTTCAGGTCCCACAATGAAGCTCCGTCGCCCTGTTGTGTTGAAGATGTACCAGAAGGTCATAGAGAGCCTCTATCAAGAGTAGTGTCACGTTCTAAGAGAAATGACTGTGTAACTGTTAGTATAAAAATCACTTCCATATCTCATTATCTTTTTGGACATGCATGGCATTTAATTATATCTGTGTCTTGTGTTCAGAATGCATAAATAATACAGGAACAATTTACGTTTCTCTTTTACATTAAAGAAGTTACCAGATAAATAAATAGTGAATAATACTGAGAATTTTACAAAGTCACACAATTTTAATTCATTTTCTCATAGGCAGAAATATTTCTTTTTGATTTATGTTTGACTCTGGTCTGCAATTAAATCTTTTGATGCTTTTAAATCATAACAGTTACTTTCATGACAGGATCTTGTATGTTGTGTAAATACCATTTGGTTTTCAATATTAGATATTTGGTCCATAAAGACTGGTTTGAGTCCCCATATGGTCCTGTGTGTGCATGTGTGTATTTCAACTGTAACTGTATAACAACAGAGTGAAAACTGAATATCTTTATAATATATTAATAAAGTATATATTTTCTTCTTCATATTCTTCCACCAGGAATCTTATTACTAGAGTCATCATCATAGCAGCTGAGATAGTCAAGTCATTGCATAACAATAAATAAAAGGTCTGGCAGTTCGGTTGTCATAGTGATATTTATGTTTCTTTAAACATTCATGATATTTGCAGCAGTATGACAGAAAATAAAAACTTAGTGCAAAACATCTGTTTCACGTAACAGAAGCCTGATTATATGTAAATTAATAAAAGCTTTAATCCATTTTTTTCACATTAGGAATGTAAAACACATAGTTGAATGTTTGACAAACATCTTCAGTGTTACTTAAGCGACCATGGACGTTACAAATTGCATCTTTTATGTCAAATAAAAGTGTCAATTACATTTGACAAGTGGCCATATTAAGCCATTAAATAAACAATATCCACATATACACACAATTACAGTAACTGTTGGTCTTAAGACATTACTTTAGAGCTTGCAAAGTTAACAATAACACAATCAGGATCTTTAACTCCTGAGTGTTTTAAAAATACATAATATGGTTTAAATGTAACATGGTGACATAAAGCGACCCTCATAATCAACCGGTGGTATTTTAAGGATCCTTTTAGTCCAGATCCAGCACTCGTTGACATATTGCTTCTGTGAATTCTGAGCACTTTGAGTTCCCTCCCAGGTCTTTTGTTAGAACCTTGAAGATGGATGAGAAAAATTCGTAATTAACAGTCAAATAAAACCAGAACGGCACGTCTCAATTTCTTTAAAAGTAGATTACCTTTTTGTCTCGAATGATGTCAAAGCAGGCAGCTTCTATCTTTTTGGCGTGGCCATGCAGGCCCATGTGCCGCAGCATCATGACTGCACTGAGCAGCAGGGCGGTGGGGTTGGCCATGTCTTTTCCTGCTATGTCTGGGGCCGTTCCATGAACCTGACGGGAGAAATAAATCAGAAACATTCATTATGTTTGACGTTTGTATAAACACCAGTGTGATATGCGTTGATGTGCTTGAATTAACTAATATCACACTATGAATTTCTACTGTGCAACATGTACTTTTGTGATGGAAGTGAAACTGAAGAAAAAAATAAATGAAGAGTCTGACAAATGGAAATTTAAAAAAAAAACGTACCGACTCAAATATGGCAACACCATTGGCCCCAATGTTCCCGCTAGGAGTCACTCCAAGACCTCCAATCAGTCCAGCACAAAGATCACTGTAATGGTAAACACATACACTTGCCTTTAGATGTATTATTGTACATACTTGGCTCTATGGTTTACTATGTAGAATATTTATTTACCTCAAGATGTCTCCATACAAATTTGGCATTACTAATACATCAAACTGTGTGGGATCCTGTACCATCTATAAGAACAAGTATTACAATGCCACTATTAATTAACGTATAACAAAACATGCTTTATATCCATCTAAAACAGTGTACATATTCAACGTTTTAATGACAAAATATATTGGGACTTACATTAAGACACACAGTATCCAAATACATCTCTGTGAATTTCACATCTTTGTGCTTTTCAGCAACCTCTCTGCATTTCCGCAGAAACAGCCCATCTGACATGCGCCTATAAAAATGACAAAAGAGGACAATAATTCAATTTAAGGAAATAGATTTTAAAATTACAAATGAGTTGAAGTACTTTGTACTAAATGTAACTTACATAATATTGGCCTTATGAACAGCAGTAACACTGGCCCTCTGATTATTTCTGGCATATTCAAAAGCATACTCTGCGATGCGTTGGCTGGCCTGCTCTGTAATGAGCTTAATGCTCTGTACAACTCCATCAACAATCTGAAAATACACAAATCCAAGAGATTTATGGTAATAATATGTGACAAAATAAATAACATTGATTTAATTGCTTAATATCATATGTGGTCTGTGCAAGGGAAAATAAACAAAACGTCAATAGAGCAAAACTGTGGACAATTTAACAGCTGGAAAAGTAATGTTTTGTTTAGGGTCGTACCACATGTTCAATCCCACTGTATTCCCCCTCAGTGTTCTCTCTGATGGTGACCAGGTTCACATCAGTGTAGGGGGTCTTGTAGCCCTCGATGGACACACAGGGGCGGACATTGGCATAAAGGTCAAAGGTTTTCCTGAGCAGCAAGTTCATAGAGGGATGGCCTGCCGCTATTGGTGTCTTCAAAGGACCTGAAGAATAAAAGTAATTTAAAAAAAAATGTACTGATTCAACTGCTAACACATCTAAAACTCATTTGAATTAAAAACCTTTTACTAACACAAGGTATATATTTATTAAAGTGGTCTTGTAGTAAATAAATATTGATAATTAACAATAATTAACTGACATTTACTTTTTATTTTAGTAATCTAAAGTTTGTTAAGCAGGTTACCTTTTAGGCCAATTTTGTTTCTGTCCATGGATTCTTTGGCATCAGGAGGGATCATCCATTTACCACCAGGTCCTTTAATGGCTGTAACATTTCTCTCTTCCCACTGAATAGGTGCCTAGATTTAAAAAAGGGGTGTACAGCAAAATCACTTGATTAGTATACATTAAGCAGACTTTAATTGCTTTACTGATTGGATCAGATTGGTCTCTTAAGTATCGAGGCTTGAGTAATACAAAAGTTATCTGTTGCAACCTAAACAATAATTTAGCTGGATGATGTTGTTAGTGAAAAATACTGTTTGTGCTGCTCCTCCAGTACTAACTTTAGCTGCTTCAAATATCTTCATGACAGCAGAGGAGATCTCTGGACCAATTCCATCACCGGGGATTAAAGTGACAGTGTGAATCTGTAGGGCGGAAAAAAAAACACGTATCAGAAAATAATAATTATGCACAGTGTAAGACAAGCAATAAGTAACATCACATTTTGTGTGTAGTTCTTCAGAAAAAACACATACCCCACGCACATACGTCCTGGGTTGTGGAGTTTCTGTCCTCAAAGCTCCAACCACCCGCGACACCTGACAGGCACAAATAAAACAATTCCCCAACACGTTTTTTCGATGTTGACAGCATATATAAAGTGTATATACACAGAGTCATATAAAGTGTTTTATTGTGTATTTTCAAAAATAGTAAGAAAAAGCAACATTAAATAAAGTAAATTAGTAAAAACTAGTAAATTGAGCAAATCTTATTGAGAAAAGAGTGGTGAACATACCAGAATGGTGATGACCTGAGAATTAAGAACTTGTGTTTCATAGAATAGACTACTTGATCTGGATAACTGTTCACATGTAGTGCACTTTATGACCAAAAGTAAAAATACATATGTTGTGTCAATCCTTGGTCACTTTAGGATACCGCTTTCAAAAGCACATGAAAGCAGTACAATGAGATGAAACTTACTATTATTTATAGATAGATAGATAGATAGATAGATAGATAGATAGATAGTCTCAATCCAGTTCACAGCAGTGGATGTCATTAATTGTTAACATGTAAGCTGTGTTGAAAGCGTCATTTTATAATATATCTATTCAGTGTAAATGACTATAAACACAGTAACTTGCCTTTGCCGATGATACACGGTAACACCACAAGAGAGGGAGATGTAGATCACCAGTAGGAAAAGTGAATCAAGAGGTCACCTTTAGCACAACTGACATCTAACAGGCGCTCCGACTTGCAAAACATTATGTCCATTCCAGATTTGAATAACAGTTTTACTGAGGGAAATTGCTAGCTAGCATTAGCTCTTTTCGAAATACGTTTGCTTAACTTACTTCCTGAGCCTCGATTTTATCCTTGCCATTGATGGATAAACCCCACTGTCTTAGTAGGTTAAAGATCTGTAGATAAGGGACATTACATTGACATTTTGTTTAAATTGAACAATGACCTATAAAATGAATCTTAAAACAATGTATGATAGAATAAAACATGTAGGTTGCTGCTAGCTAAGCTTTCCTTTTCGTTCAATACTACCTAACTAGCCATCTAGCACTAGTCAGGTTGCTATAGTAACTCCAAACAAGTAGCTTTAGCACCTAGCTAGGTGAACTGTCACTGGAATGCCGGAAGTCTTTCACTTTGTGAACGATAGTCAAATAAGCTAACGTTAGGTAGTTTATTATAATTCAATGGCATGCGTTTGCTGCAACGATTAACATATTTCCCCGTACATACCGTTGACCTCCACGCCTTTCCTGCCATCCTTTACTAGCCAAGGTCGATGCAGCAGCGCCAGCAGCAGCTGTGAAGCTAACAGAACAAAGCGGATATCCGCTCTGAACCAATGTGTTTTTCAAAATAAACCCTTTAATACATTTAAAGCCTTTTACATAATTTGTACTTTTTAAAAAACGTATTATTATTTTTGGAATAGCAACGTTCAGTTATAGACTATTTTTAATACATAATTTTATGTTTGCAAATTGCAAAATAAAAGGTTGCCGTTGCTCTTATTTTGGACATCTTCCGGGAATTGCACTGAGATGTAGTTGCATTTGTGTGTAGTATATGGAGTAATACAGCTCAATTAATAAACTAAACTAAATTCAACCAGCTCAAACAATAAATGATATCCCTATCATTAACAGGCTAACGACATATTTTGGTGTGAACCATGGTCGTACAGTGACTTAAATTGCAGCACACAGTTCAGTAGAAGGCCAGCAGGTGGCGCCAGTGGACTGCAACTGCGAGTCGACCTCACTAATATGCATGTTCTTTGGCTGTGGATGTGCAAGGTAGTGTGTAGTATAGTTTCAGTGGTCCAAAGTAAACAAGTACAAATCAAAGCTCTGAAGAACACGTTTGAAAACATTGTATTTTTCCAGAAGTTGTTCGTACACATAATAAACGTTATGTTATAAAACAAATAGAAACAGCTGAAACATCATTCTATCACTTATTGCAAAAGTTCAACTTACAAGGAAAGCAAACAGCATGGGACACATTAACTCCCAACATTATCCAGCAATGCAATATGGATGAAGTTTATAGAAATTGTTAAGCAGCATAGCTCCTAGCATAAATGCAGGATACAACATGGTACAAAATGCACACTGTGCAAGTAAAGACATCTTTGAACCAAACTGAGAGTTGTCAGTATAGATAAAGGTTTTCAAACCACTTATGTGTATCGTTGATACTCAATGCATAGGATGAGATAGAATTTCAACAAATGCCTCACAATGCAAATACAAAGCATGTGTCTGATACTGATCAAGCATTTGGATAAAGCTTAGTAATTTGAAAAGCCTACAGTACAGCCATGGTGCATCATACAACAAAAACGTAAATGTGTTCATATAGTCCAACTCAAATCGCATACTGCTTTGGCTGCTTCTTCAGGCTCATAGATCTTTCAGTTTGGGAAATAACGTGAGAGGCTCTGTTGTTCAGGAGTCTGCATTCATGAAGTACATCTGTAGAAAAATAAATGAAGGTCAATTATGATATAGGATAACACACTGTCATTCTTGCACACTTAATGTAAATAATATCCCACTTTTATATTCTGTTAGCTGTAATTTAGCCCTTCAGTAGTGTTTTATTTGTCAGATAGCTTACATATTTTTTCTTCACGGTCAACATTTATATTTTCACTCTATAGTTCGGTTTTATCATCTATTTTGAGATGTATATATGTATTTATTTTCTAGTCTTTTCTTATTTCTAATTATGTACTATACTTGTTTTACATGCTGCTGCAACGAAAACATTTCCCAATTTGGGATTAATAAAGTATATCTTATCTTATTAAACGGTGGACTGTAGATCAAATGAAATGAAAACATTTCTTAAAATTACAAAAAGGCCCTGCACAGAAACTCTTACCGTTGAACTGTTTGTAGGCTTCTTCAATAATGGCATTGTTTGATCTTTTTAACTCCCAGTAATTATCCTCTACCCATGGTTTGCAATCAGTGTGTTCCACAAGCTGTCCATTCTTGTATGAACCAGCTTGAATAGAAAAAAAGAAAAACAGTTCAGTCATATTTTACATGAACAAGAAAACTTAGTCAAGCAAGGAAGAAGACATGACTGCATCCTGAACATGTCATGGATGCCATTCATACATTGTGTACAACTAAACATAGTCTCAGATACAACTCACGATAAAAACACACACTAAATAGCTAATGTACCTTTGATGGTTTCATCAATGTCTTTACATAATTGGTACAGTTCACTGCCACGCCCAACCACTCTTTCCCCTACAATTTAAAAACAGGATAAAAAATGTAACATTAGTCTAAGAGTTAATGTTATGCAGGAGACTAAATGAAAACATTATATATACATGTACCTTACCATCAAGCACCTTGATGTGGGGGAACATCTCAAGAACTATGTTTCTATATGCTGCGTTCCTGCACACTGTGCAGAGAGAAATATATTGTGAGTTCACTTCACAAGATGTTCCATTAACCAGATTGTATAAAAGCAAATTCACACAAAATTACCTGGGTTAGTGTAATTGTAGGTGTTGTCTTTAAGACGTATACTTTCTAGCTTTCTCAACAGCTGAAGGCATTGTAGGTTCTCAATGCTGGTAAAAAAAAAAAAAGAAACAGATGAGAGATAATTTTACAGGACTTATCCAGAATATTGCTCTTAAAAATATTATTGCAGCAAAAATATTTAACATCAATGACATTAAATAGTTCTTATACTATGATATTAACATTGTAATCAATGACATATTGGCATTCTTATTCATTTAGAGTAAACATTTGGTCAATGGTCGTATAGTGATACCTGGATATGATATTACCAGCCAAGTTTAAGTTCTGTAAGCCTTCACAATTGCGCAGGGGTTCTGAAAGTACCAAAGCAATAACATGCATTAAGAAATCTATTTATATTCATGGCAGAGACTTCCATGATAAGTGAACAAACATACAGTATGCAAATAAAGAATAAATTGCTCCTGAAATCTTACCTAAATTGGAAATCCTGTTTGAAGACAAACAGAGTACAGAAAGAAGCCGGAGAGATGCTAGAGGAGCTACATTTGTTATGTTATTTCCAGAGAGGTCCAGTTTCTCTAAATTTAAACATTCTCCAATGCATCCAAGATCAATTATTCCTGTAAGACACACAGTTAGCATTATAAACTATGATGCATTTATGAAGGGGTTAAATAGTAGATGTTAATTACAACTTACCAAGACCTCTCAGTTTGAGAAACAGTATTGACTCCAAATCAAATTCTCCTGTACGCGACTTGAGCAGCACAGGCGTTATCTTCTCACAGTCTGCATCTGGAAGAATCAGATAAATATGAGTGCAGAAAAACAAACCACGTCTTCTATTTTTACATATGCAACACAATCACAGAGCAAGGATGTGTGAGTCAGGGATGCAAGAGCAGAATGCCGGAAGCACTGTGTCTGCTCTGTGTACGGTGGACCAATCAAACAACCCATGCAACCCTTCTAAAAAAATACTAATTCAGGCAGACCTTGCATTTCATATCTCGCCGCACAATGAGCTTTTCGTCTGGCAGCTCTAGAGGGAAGGGGTCACACACAGACAGATGAGCTGTCCTCTGTGCTGTCTCTTATGGTATTAGCTCGCCCCAGTTGTCTGCATGAATAACAACCGAGGACGTTATATTTGGTTTAATTTCCTTAGGCAGATTTGGTCCCTCCATAAACATGAATACTCTTTCATGAGACTGCATACATGAATGACTTATTCACCTGACAAGAAAGATCAGACTAACCAAAAATAATGATGTTGGGGTCTTTTTTTCCCCATTACATCCTTTTAGATTTTAATCACCCGAAGTTGTATTTATACACATTGTAAAAGATGCCAGACAGGGTAGTATGACAAGACAACATGATGGGGGAAACAGTCATGGGTGGAATGAGTAGGGTCACCAAACACACATCTTGCATATGTCAACAGCTGCAATAATAAATAGGCTGATGATTTGTAGCTTAGCTTGACACCAGTAAATGTTGTTAGCTTGTGTTAGTAGCCATCTGTTTCTTAGCTGTGAGTCAGCGGCTGCGTACTCTCATGAAGATGATTCAGCCGGATGAAAGTGGGTGGGTTATTAAATGAAATTCTAATTGTTATTTTTTTCCCCTGATGATGACACACGTAAAATGTTGTGTAACGAACGATACGTTGTTAGCTGGCTCTTAGCTGAAGCCGCAGCCAGCTAGCACAAGCTGCTAGTGGCTAGCGTAGCAACAAGCTATCCATGGCAACTTACCTTGGTCTTTATCTCGCTTAGAGTCCATCATGAGCAACTTTGCAAGATAACTTAACTATCGCAATAAGCGATGATTTTAACCAATGTGGTGGAAAGACAAGGCAGTGGTTGTTTTATGGAAATGTAAAACTGGCATCTGTCCTGAGGTGCAGTCAGGACACGCTCACTGTACTGCTTTGCTGCAATAATAGGAGGCAGGTGGATTAAAGCCTGCAGTCCAGCATAATGCAGAGCATTAGTCTAATGCACTGTGAGAGAGGGGAGATGAGGACGGGGCTGGAATATGTGTTACAGTATTTTTGTAGATGTTGTTTTCCGTGCAACAGGTTCTCAGGACTCAATTACAAGTTTTGTTCTTGTTATAGTATTGCCGAAAAGTATGATCCATAGAGGTTTGTTGTGGTAAGGCTGAGTCAATTCTGAATGAAAAGCCAATTAAGTGGTGATTACATCAATATGATAAATAATAAATGAGCATGCAAAGTATTATCTATTCAGGGATTAAATAACCTACGAAAAGATGCATGTTTGGAAAGTATCTGGGGGTCAGGATCAAACTTTCTTGGTGTGGGAGTTTGCACCTGTAGGCACAATTAGCCAGAGATGGGAATTACTACGTTTATTTAGGCTCATGAAGTAGCCTACTCATCAGTACAACCAGCGCCATATATGGCTCTGAGTACAACATAAGGCGACATGCATTCAGAGTAGTCACTTCATGTAACAACTTGATATTACTTAATGTTTCTATTCCATTTCATATCATATCATGTGGAGATGTTATATTTTTACATTATTTATGTGACATCCGAAGTAACCATACTTGGAAGAGTGAAAATCCGAATTGTATTGACAATTAGGTATTTACTTGTTCTGTGGTGCATACAATACACATATAAGAGGAAACAAAAACACAGAGAAAGAAGGCTACACATTAAAGAACATTAATAAAGAATATAAATAGAAAAATACAATAAAAAAGGATACAAAAAAATAGGCAACGTAAGCAAATGTTTAATATGATAATGTTGATGAGGGACTTGTATAAGCAAACAGTTGAACATATTATATATTTGTAAACATTTAATTAGCCTTCATTACAGTTTACTATCGTATTTTGGATATCCTTTTCACCAACATTAAGAAACTCCTGAATCAAGAGAACACAGCCTCTTCATTACCAGAAGGTTCTAGTCCACGATGAGGTATTTTTTAATTTTTTTTACCTGAGGCTGGGGTCCTATTGGTTTGCCTCCTGTGGACAGCCGGTGCTTTAAGAGAAGCAGATCAGTTTGCAGCTCAACCTCCCATGGCTACGACAAGACTGGACACGGCTCTTGTTCTCTTCATTTTTCACGTTTTTCCTGTTTTTGCTTCATTCTCTAGATTTACCAGTCATGGCGGACATCTCAAATAAGGACAACAACACCTACAACCTGCTTTAAGAGTTTGCACCGTGGCGGCATCCTGAGCGGAGACTCGGTCTTTGCCGCGGACCCCCTAAATGCCTTTCATTGAGAAAAGGCTTCGGACGTTCAGTGTTGTGAATGTGTACAAGCAACAGATTACCTGATTAAGATGGGTAATAAACAAACGATATTTACTGACGAGCAACTTGATGCCTACCAGGTGAGCTTGCATGTATGTGTACCTGAAGCATGTTGGAATAGGTCATTCATGCCAATATCCAGAATCAGAAAGTCATGTTAAAGCATAAAATAAGTCATTATAAAGCACTATGCATACATCATTGTCATGCTTGTAAGTATTAATTGTGAGTGTTTAAAGGCCTAAGTGCATGCATTTTTCCATGATTATTTATTACTATCGAAAATTATTGTTATATTTCACTGTTTCTCTTTATTTCCAATAAGTCAAACCTCGCAGTTTAACCCCATGTGTTTTAGATAGAATTTTAGGTTTAACAAAAAAGCCTGAACATTTACATTTGTTATAAATATCAGTTGGTTATAGTCTTCATCGATAATTGATTTGCAATAATCAATTTCCTACTGGTCAGCTTGGGCTATACTGTTTAAATATTTACAGTTTCGAGGGGAGGATAGCAGAAGGTTTTGATTTCATTGAGGATCTTATGTTTGCTCTGCAACTATCTGAGAAGATCTGGCTCTCTGTTTCCTGTAACAATGATCCAAGTTTTCCTGGGAAGGAGAAACACATCTTTTTGTGCACAGGTTTATCATGTGATTAGGTGTGGACTCAATAATTGATGCCAAGCCGGTGTGACAGCCTGTGAAACTCTACTCTAGGAGACAGGTCACTTCTCAAGAGCCTCTCTGGTTACTCCTGCTGCTCCTTAAAAACCTTATTATTATACTGTTACATTATGTTTGACTTAGCTTCTGTCTTGGGCATACATTTTTTCATCCTTTGTTTCTAGCATCAAATATAAGATTATACACCTAATTCAACCTCAAGACCTCATTGTGCTCTAATTACATTTTCTATAGGCTTTACTTATAATGTGGTCTATCGTGTTAGAGACTAGTTGGTTTTGATAATTACCTCACATAATGCTTTACATACATGATTATCATAACCCAAACATGCTAAGTAGTCCTGTTTGCCTTGAGTGGGTAGCTTTGTCTCTAGAGATCAGCTGGCTCCGCTCTGCTTCTCCCACTCCGAGCACAGCTCAGACAGAGTGGATACAAGCGGAGATGTAAAGTGAGGTGGCTCCTGCAGGCCTGTTGGATAATGTGTGTGCCAACACGTGCATGTCAGACAACAGCAGATCATGTTGCCCTCGCCACATCGTTCCTATTGCAAGTGGCCGGTGACAACACTCACACATGTCATCAAAAGAGACACTAGACACCTTGACTAGCGTTTACAGTAAAAGTAGTTCACGTGACTCACAGAAGTGTCATTGAGAGGATTTCATAAAATATGTAAATGGGTTTTGTCCCATAAACACTTGTCATACAGTCATACATGACATCATGCTTTTCTTATGTCATTGCAGGACTGTACGTTCTTTACCCGCAAAGAAATTCTTCGGTAAGACTATTATCAATTCTTCCTCTTGCTTCTGATGAATTGCTCACAGATGTTGTTGTTGGTTGTAAACCACCTGCTGTAGCCACAATATAGCTGACACACAATAATGTTACCACACGAATGTCTTTTATATCACTATGTTCCCTACTTGTTCTGTTGTAAACATGAGCAGTGCATGTAATACTGTATACTAAATCACCATACATACTGTCATTACAAGGGAGTGTTTACAAAATGTCACAGCTTCAGAGTACATTTGGCTCCTGTTGGAGGAATTCAAAGTGTCTCACACGTTATGCCCTGCCAAGTCATCAGAGCAGACTGCTGGCCTCCTGGGGACCGAATGCTGAGACTGGTTTATAGGGCAGCTGTGTTGTGTTTGGGAAATGTTCAAACAGGGGAAGATAAATAATAGTAGGTAAACATTTTAGCCCTAACAAGCTGAACTAAAGCCTTAACACATGCATTCCTTCCAATATATACAGTTAATTATTTATAGTTACTGTCGTATTTAGAGTATAACACAATTACATGTGTGTTGTTCGAGTAAGGGCTCATTTGAATGATCAAATTACAATTCAAATGGGAATCAATCAATCTTCTCATTTTATGTGGTGTATGTTACTATTGCTATTGTGAAGTAGAAATATTTCATTTTGGCTTAGAGTTCAAATATAATTGAATGATCATCTTATACAGCCAATGTATTATCCTTTTACATCTTCCCATCAACAGCCTGCAGCATAACAGATAATGCAGACAAATGTAATTACATGAATTGCACAGAATGTGCACTTATGTCCATGAAGATTGCTTTTACGTGAGATAAGTAAAAATCTTTACATGTTCAGCGTCACCTTTGAAGGCCATGTTGACCTTTTGACTGGTGTTGTTTTCAGTGTCACATTTCTACCTCTTTCGACATGTGCAAGCTCAACACTTACAAAAATATCAATCTACTCTTCATGATTACATGAGGTATCATGATTCATTGGGCAGCATCATTTCTCTTTTCCCGTCACTCAGCCTGTTGATGACAGGCATAAATTAAACAAATGTCTTGCTTTTCTTATCAATGGAATTGGATAATAATGCTCATGTTTCAGTATCTTTTATCAGTGGTTCTAGATGTTGGAAGATAAATAGCTGCTTAAAGAAATTAAATGCTGTTACTCAAGAATGTCTCAGTGTAACATTAGAAAAGGATGAAAGTGGCATGGAGGACTGTTGGCTCTGAATTGCCAAATCAGTATATGGGCAGTAAAGTTGTTGTTGTTTTTAAATGGCAGTAAGACAATGCAGTCATTTGTGTCCTGTTGTCTCACCTGTTATTGTCTTATAGAATTACACAAACTATCAAGAATTCATAATGGAAACAAATTAACAGGGTTGCTTGATTCTACGTTTTTTCATTTGTAAAGCAGAGGTGATCAAATGAGTACCGTACATCAATAGCCACATTTCTTCAGCAGGGCTCTGTTAAATTAGAATTTCTTTTTTTCCCATTCAATTTCACTGCATTTATGCTGCTTTTTCTCCTTTGTCTTCTTATTAACAAGCAGTGTGCATGTACATGTTCCTTTTCAGTGATATTGGCTTGACTTTGACTCTAATTTAGTTTCAGTGGACTGGAAATAGAATTGCCAATCAGCAGAGGGCGTAATTGGGTCCTCCACTTTATGACCTTCATAAAACACTTCTTGTTTCTGTCTCCAGCTGCAGCGTTACAGAACAGTTACGTAACATAAAAAAAACATCTTTAAAGGTCATAAGGTCCAACAGATTTGACATTTCATTTCATTTTCTTAATCTTGTGTTTTTGGAAATAAAACATAATGTTAATAAGGCAAATGTACAGACCCTTTACCCCTAAAGCACTTTCCATCGTCATGGTACATTAGAACTGCAGGTTTATTCGTTCATTTCTTGTGGAGTACCAATAAAATGTCATCAATTTGACAGGTTTACGCCAGTTTCCCTGCTGATTAATGTCTCTGCTCTGGCATCGCAGGTACACCATGACAAGATTAGTTAAAGGACAGAGTGAAAATGGGGTTGTAGGATAAGCCACTTTCCCAACATAATTATTTGATCATTCACACAGAGAGAACCGAACAGGAGAGACAGTGAGAGGTTGGTTATGTCATCTTACTACATGAGTTGTGCTACAAATGTGTGTAAGCCCAAATCATATCCTGTTGGATAAATAAAGTGTTATCCTATCTTTGGTTTCAGGTGTGTGAAAATGCAAAGCTTGTTTTTTGGTAGTCAATTCTCTTTCCTAAATAACAGCACACTTGAAGCATGAAAATAAATATAATTATGTTGAAAGTGTTTTTGTTTTCTTTATTCTAGATTGCACAGCAGATATCATGAATTGGCTCCACATCTCGTCCCCATGGACTACACCAACGATCCTGACTGTAAACTGCCTTTAGCCTTAATAGTCAACATGCCAGAATTAAACGTAAATCCTTCTTTACAGTACCTTATTATTGTCTATGTTGAAACTCTTTCCTAAAGGATCTGCCATACTTTGTTTTCCACCAGCAGTGTACATGTGTTTTGTTTAGTTATTTTGGATTGTGCGGTAAGGACAATAAAACAAATATGGCCCCCACAACTTATGTGGGCCAACACCTAATCAATAAACACTCTCCGTCAGAGGACAGAATTGATTTTTAACCATCAGCATCATGGATATGATTGCATTAAACCACATTCTGTGAGATCATGAAAGTTAATGTGCCATGAAACGCTCAGCCTCTCCATACTGACGGGCACATCTTCTCCTATTTGAGGCCCCTGCCATTTGAAAAGAACATTCAGACAGTTTAGGAATGGCATGTTGCATTACCTTGCACCCACCTTTACCTTCACCTTTATCCTGCCCTCAAGTAACACACCATTTTTTATGGAGTTCTTGTCCACTGAGATTTTAGCACAGAGACTCATAATGTGTTCTTCTTCTGGGCATAATTGGCTTTTGCCTGTAAATCTGTCACATGAGTGCACGGCCTGTAAGGATGGAGAAGAGGAGGAGGGAGACCACTCAAGGCAGGATTCATTCATAAGACCAAGACAATACCCAAAGCACTCTACTGCTTCATTACCATAAATACATTTGAAGTTTTTATTAGCTGTGTTGTGTTGATTGGACTGACTCATGCTGTGTGAAGTTAAAAACAGCATTGCCTTAGATGGCCTAAAAATGCTAACCATCCTCTGGGCAACAACTGTGCATATTGGTCGGAGGTAAAGAGTAAGTAAGATGCATAAAGGTAATAAATTACTGAGATTCCAAGTCTCTGCTGATGGTCGCCCCTTCAGTTTGAATTTATTACAAGTTGTGTCAGCTAATTGCCTGTGATATCAATTCTTTAATTGCAGCTTGTGGTTGAGCAACCATGAAAACAAATATTGGCTTCACCATAACAGTCAGCTTTTTTCAGTTGAAACCTGTGATCAGCAGAAAACACTTAACCAGTTTATACCTGATCATGTATGAAACCGACAACAGCTTGTTAACATATGAAACCTATGGTTCTCTTAGGTTATTCTTTAAGATATTGATTTTCCATGTACTTCCATGTGTATCAACAGTCCCACTGATGTATGTAAAGGTTGTCATCTCTTCTATCTGTAGGAAAATCCTTTCCGCAACAGGATCGTAGAGTCGTTCTCAGAGGACGGGATGGGGAACCTCAGCTTCAATGAATTTGTGGACATGTTCTCAGTCCTCAGTGAAATGGCTCCTAGGGAACTAAAGGCCATATATGCCTTCAAAATATACGGTAATGACACATTCCAAAAACATTCAATTTGAATTGTTTGTTTACATCCAGAAATCAATGCCATTAATCTCTTCTTCTCACAGATTTCAATGTGGATAATTACCTGTGCAAAGAGGACCTGGTAAAGACTTTGAATAGGCTGACGAAGGAGGAGTTGACTCCTGAAGAGGTGGTGCTGGTGTGCGAGAAAGCCATCGAGGAGGCGGATTTAGACGGAGACAACAAACTCTCCTATGCTGACTTTGAAAACATGATTACCAGGGCTCCAGACTTTTTAAGGTGATTAAATGTACCACACTAAAGAAAAAGCATGTCTTGTTTTGAGCATTTTTTCAATATAATGTGTACACCTCATTCTACATTACAAGCTGTAAGCCTTTAAAATCATTATCCCTCATGCTGCAGTGCTCTGAGCTGTTTGTCTCTGGTTACTCAGTATTCAAACCCCAGATGGCTGTTAATCATGTTCATCGTTTAACTGCCAGCTTATCACTTTAATCCCGAGCCACCACTATGTACATTCATTTATATGCAAATGAACTCACCACTCACTGTCCCCACTGAAATGCTGAACACATCTCTCCCTGATTCCTGTGAGTCAGTTTGTGTGCAGCACTATGAGTAATCCTGTCTCATATTGTCTTTTTTTTCCAGTACCTTCCATATACGAATCTGAGAGGGCAACGTGGAAGGTCAAAGGTCGGCAGCGTTGTGAACCTCAGGATTTTAGCTGCACCTGTCCTAGCCACAGCACAGTGCCTGTCTCCCACTCCAATGGTCAAACAAATGTTTGCAATCAGTTAATTAGCAGTAAAGGATATTAGTGGATACATTTGCAAGGACACAGAATTTTTTTATTGCAAATGAAAATGTATTTTCCTTTTACCAGCTATAAAAGGGCTTGGCAAGGACTGGTCTCTTGTTGGAAGAAACAGACTATTCTTTCCACATTTTAAAGTTAAAATATTATAAATTAAACAAGTCTGTAATGAGCCAGACTCTGTATTAATGCATATTAAGCTCAGTCAAGAATGCATAAAATGCTCATCTACCTATCTTGTACATGAGATACAGAATATATATAAATTCTTCCTACAATGACACACAACATATTTAGTGTTTATAAGGTTAAGGGCAAAGCTTGAAGTGAATAAAAGCACAGCATTGGCATTAAGGGCATCCAGATATTTTATATGCAATATTTGTACATGCAGTGTGTTGCTTTTAATCATTTGGGGTTGTGTTTTTGCTTGTGGAGCTGATCACGACAATCATATCTTACTGTTTTTCAGATACATGAAGGGCTCTGTCGTCTGAACAAATGTTGGTAGCTTTTTCTGCTTCAGCCATTATCACAAGATAACAAATACAGCCATCTTTTGGATATACATGTTACAGTATTTTATGTGACTTCAGGTATTTGTCTTACTTTTAATAAATGTTTTTTTTTCTGTCTTGATTTTTTTGTATGTGAATGCATTTGTGAGGTTTAGTCTTGTTACCGAGAAAAGCATGAAATAATACTTAAACACAGGAGCTCTTACTGTTTGTAAACCAAAAACAAACCATTTCAAGTAAAAGGCCTGACCTGAGTTCATTAATATCCCGTCCATATATCCATCTATCTTAACCCACCCACCCATGATGATCAAAGAGCGTGCACAGTAAAGATGAGGAAATGACTGCGCCTCTGCATAGCCCAAGCCTTAATAACTTGTTAAGCAGGAAGTGGTCATTAGGAGTGAGCTGTGTCAGCAAGCATGATAACATCCTGCACACATAGTTAAATTAAACCAGAAAGCTGCAGGGAATGGTCATGTTGACTGATGATTCCTGTGTCTGTATGTGACAATTTTGCAACATGTAGAGTGCCATGTTGTTTCAGTACAGCATGTTTTCAGCTCAGCTTGTAGCAGTGAGTCATACTGTGCAAGTGGATGTTGGGCAGCCATGCAGAACATTGTGTTTTTCCTGCTAAGAGTCACGTCTGGGTCGTCTTTACACCTTTGTGCAATAGCTGCAAAAACGTTTTTTTTTTTTTTTAAACCTACATGTATAGAGACCATCCAAACTCAAGTGTGTTTTGAGGCAATATAATTTCCTGTTAGCGAATGGTAATAACAAATGCAACAAGTCGATTGTTCAGACTTGATCTTATGTGTTATATTTATATATGGTTATAGCAGACAAAAAAAATAACATGCATACAGATCAACACCAAAATATAATTGTACTGAATATAGCTACATGGTGGATGGTGTTCTCATGCACACTGACAGCTATGAAACATAGGAAAAAGTTAATATTAAGTGTCTTCATTCACCTAAAGAGGGGAATACATTGAAGTCAGTTAAACAGTGTGCAGTCATCAGAGCAGCCGGTTAATTCCCCCATTATCTCCAGTTGCTTTTATGAGGGCAGCATTGAATATTCAGGGTAATACAGTGCTGATTGTGTGGCTCCATTAATTACTGGTCTCACAGAGAACATCTGTTTAATTATGATTCCAGCTGAGAAGCTTCTGGTGCAATGTGATACTGGAGCTGTAAAGCAGCCGTAACTGTACGCAACTGTTCCTGTAAACAGACAGTGTGTGAAACTCACACATTTCACTCAATGGGATCTTGTCTGTTTTAATTTGATGTGATTTAAGATTATTCCTTAGGCTGGAGGTCTGACTGCTCAATGCTACTGTGTCATGTACCAATATTTCCTGCATTGCTACTTTTTCTTAAGATTGTGGTGTTTTAACCCTACCAATTATTTTATTATATAAGCAGTATAAGAAATTAATTGATTATATATTCTTTCTTTTTTTAAACCATTACGTACTGAATATAGTTACAAATAGTTTAAAATCTACCCGAGAGAGATTTGTTAACAGATACAATTCATGTTCATATAAAATGTGTTTATACGGTGTTATCAATCATCACTGTATTGAAAATGTCTTCACCACAGCGTCGCAAAATTGTACTGTATGATAGAAATGAGGGTATTCCCTTTTTTCATATCTCCTACTGAACCTAGTGCATGTGTCATGTCAGAGTTATTCCCAGGTGCAGAAACCCAATTATTTAAAAATAGGGCACTGATCACATCTAGCTTTTGTGTTTTTAAGAATATGTCAATGTATAATCTTTATCTAAGAGTTTGAAGGAATATGTTAGGAATGTCCAAATATTGTTTGCCTTCGGAAATGTTTAATATTTTATATTGGGTTAAAAATATCCTGGTGCGTTTCCTCACTGGCATTGGAAACTGATCATGAAACACATTCGAGTTGCTGCCGTACACATGTGTTTGTAATCTGCATGCAAATAAAGTTTCCTGTCAGTGAAGTGCAACATTGATGGGAGCAGCCTATAGTCAAAATATGTTTGAAGATCAGTAGGAAACACAGTACACCCTTTTTTCTCTAGGAAAATAATGAGTTTTTCTTTTTGCATGTGTCATTTATTCAAATGTGGTGTAGACAAAAATAAATAGACTACAGTGTTTCTTTAAATAAATAGATTTGAAATACAAATGACAGAAGATGTCATTGATTAAACTATGCACATGAGGGCCCAGGTTGAACATATTACAAGTATTCTTTCACAGAGTGAATGTAAGGCAGGACCACTGTAGTGTAGAGAAAGTGGGTGAACATTTCATCAGTAGTTGGCAAGGTAAGCTCTTCACCATTTCCTCTTGACTTCAGGGAACAGCCATTTCCATTTATCATTCTGCAGGAGGTAAAACAAAAGTGAATCAATAAATAAATATGAATAGTAATAATACATTGTATTTATAGAGTGCTGTTCCCGGTACTGAAAGACACTTTACATGCTAAAATTCATAAAAACAACATTAAAACACCACACTTAAAATATTTAAAATACAACAATAATTAAAGGTTAAAAGCAGTTCTGAAGAGGTGAGTTTTGATTTGAGATTTCAAAGAAGACAGATTGATGAAATTGGATGAAGTGTTAAAATGGAAGCATTTGGCCCACATTACTAACCTTAAACCCCCAGGTGAGGTGACCATGTTTGGGTCTGACGTCCTCCAGAGGTTCGTAGGTGTTGCTGTTGGGTTCAGGTGCGTCTGTGTCCTTGTGGCCAGGAATCGGCTCATATGTATGAGGGAAGTGGTCTTTATTTGAGACCTCAGCGTACACTGCCCCCCTGTGCTGCTCTGAAGATCCAGTCCCAGAGGAAGCATGGTGTGGGCTGCTAGCTCTGCCAGCCAGGTGATAAACAGCAGCGTCACTCATGTGATCCTGACTGCTGCACGAGTCTGTCCCCTCAGGCAGAGGACTAAAGGAAGTGGCTTGTCTGACGGGCTTAGGGGAAAGTCTGGGTGGCGTGAGGGGGGGTGCACTCAGCCTGTAAGACTGCTCTCCCTCACAGCTGTGGTTCAGGAGCGGTAGAGACCTGCACTTGGTATCCAGCAGGCTGAGCTCAGAGTAAACAGACTCTGGTCCAGAAGGAGAATTGCTCCTGCTCATGTTCTGAGTTGTTGATCTCCCAGCTCTCACTTGATTATCTCCAGGGAAATTGCCCTGACAGATGAGTTCGGATCTCGGTATCTCCCTGGGTTTTTGCTTCTTAAACTGAGCATACAAAGCCTTCTCAGGGTCATTCGACGGACCAATGTCGAGATGTCTGCCCCTCCGAGGCAAAGGAGGGACTTCCTGTTTTACAAAACAAGCCAGGTTCTTAAAGTCAGCTTTGGGGTGTTAATACAAAAACATTTGGTATGGAACGTATACATTATAATAAAACTGTACTCTGAACTCACCTCTTGTGTCCTGGGTGGAAGTGCAGGAAGCTGCTCTGAGTTAATCTGTGGTGTTCGCATGTTCTTTATAGCTCCAACAGGCCTCTCTTTAGGGCTAACCTGGATGGTGTCATACAGCTCTTTGTCAAGTTCCTGCAAGAACAAAACACCAGTTAGATCCTCATTCTCCATCAAATGTGACTTAAAGAAAGTGACTGAGGAGTTGTGTCTTACCTCAAAACATGAAGATGCCAGGGACTCTTCAAAAGGCTGAATGGCGTTCGTCTGGTAGTAATCTATGAGCTCATAGAGCGAGTCGTGCCCTTTAGTGTCGCCAAACACTACAAACTGCCCTGATTCATTTTGGTTTATCACAAAATGTCGACACCGATCCCTGCCTCTGCAACAGGAAATAAAAAATAATTAGATAAAAAAACAACAAACAACAACCTTTAGTTTAAAAGGGGACAACAATGTGTTAATGAACATATGTGACCTTTTAAACATGCATGTCAACTAAATAAGCTTGCTTCAAAACACAATCATTGTACGACTCAGGTTACAGGTTTTCAGAGCAAAATACTCACGTATAAGACAAAATGTATCCGATGGCCTTTTTACTGAGACGGATCAGAAAAGAGCCCAGCTCCTTTTCTCTGAGTATTTCCTCTGCCTCCCTGGATATAGACACAAATAACCTTAAAAAACCTCAAAAAGTATTTCCCAAAAGCCTAATTTGTCCCGAGTTTACAGGAACAGTGAGCTAGATTTTGAGTGGGGAAAGGCAGGTCATTCCATCAAAGGAAGATCCATTTTGTTTCAGGTATTTTCCGTAAAACTGTCATTTACCAATGCACAGGCTCTGGCAAATTCGTCCCTTTTGATTATGTATGTGTCTATAAATGTCTGCTTTGTATCAATTGTCACTGCATCTGATGTAAACTCTGACTCATAGACTGATAGTGCTCATCGTAAAAGATAAAGTTAAATAAAATAGTTTTTGCTTAATAAATATAAACAATAGTTGATATTGAAAGTGCAGCAGGTCATGTTTTACCACACTGTATAGTATTGAGTTGTATCGAGTAATATATAGTTACAAAAAACATGATTTAGTAGTACTTAAAAAACAAATTATTCTAATAATGAGCATTAAAGTTTATTTTTAACCCTGCAAAATCCAAATTACTGAATGAATACTCACTTCCTTGTGATGAAGCCCCGGAACCAGCTGGGGAAGAAGCCGTTTTGGACGATGTTTGGTAACTGAGTGTCTATAAACCACTTTGAGGCCAGTTCCCTGAGTCCTCCTTCAGTCCCTTCAACATCCAGTGCTGGTTCCCTTTGCTCCATCCTCGCCCGCTCCTAAACAAAGCCACACAGAGAGCCGCTGAAGACAACCTGCATTCATTTCCCAAACAGTCAGGGTGTATCTTAACCGTCTAATTTGCTTATTTTCCAGGAGGCGTCAACCAGAGCATAAAGGCAGCTTAATATTCTATTTGTAGCAGGAAATACCACATAATTCATTTGTGTACTTTTTTTTAAAACATACACTATACAACATTTATTAATGTTAAATTACAACCTTTTTGGGGGTGGATTAAACCTGCAAATCCATAAGTCAAGTCTTTAAGTCAAAAGTCCATTCTCACTAAATAAATGAGGCAATGAGCTCCTCTGCTGTAATGTGATGTTAGGCAAACTTACTTTGCATGTAGATCAACGGAAATAAGTTAGTCATTAAAGCAGTTAGGGACCATTCATGGTGATCTGGTAACAGTACTTACCTTGAAGCGAAAAGTCAGACAGTTCCTGAAGCAGGGAGATTTGATATGTCTCTGATCCTTTGTCCTTGACTCTGTAAAGTGGCAGATCTTCTCACACCTGGCTTTGGGTTTTCTGTAGAGTATGCAGCAATTTGTTTCAATCCCTAGAAAAAGATGGATGAAGGCTTAATTATGAGTTCAATGTGAAGCGAAGATACTGTACGGTGCTAAATGTGTACATACCTTTCCTGGAGAGTGTGTGGTTTGAACCGGGTGTCATTTCAGCAAACGTTAAAAAGCTCCTCTCAATGTCTGTCAGCCGTTGATCTCAAACAGAAGGTCTTCTGAGGGAGTATAACTGTACATGCGAGATATAGACTGATGACATTTACAATTACACACATTTTTCCACCGACTTGGAAAGCGTTTCCGCTTTGCATGGCACAACACAGTTCATACAGCTCATTTGCATGTCACAGACGTCTAAGGCCCCTCTGAACAAAGCAGGAGCTTCCTGAAGAGAAATGGAAAGTAAGCTGTGCAGAAACTGTGGTTTCTGTGCACACAAGTGTGTTGGTTTGCAAGAGGAGATGCTTTACCCACAGACTGTCTGATTGTGGGAAATACATTGCGTCAACAGTTTTCTGACATGGGCTGGCAATGAACTCAGATCAAAGCTCACAAAGCAGGAGCAAATTAAAAAGAATGGACATGTTTGGGAAAATTCAGAGATTTAAGAGGGCATGGAAAAAACTCTCATAATATGACAGATTTCCCAGCATGGTTTTTAAGGTTGTTGTTGAATGGCTAACTCATTACTCCCAGGGACGAGACAGTCCTCATGAATCATGTTTCTGTTGGTTTCTGCTCAGTGGTGAGCTGTAAGAAGTCCCTGTGGGGGAGAGACAATAACCGAAAAGAGTCTGTGTCATCGTGAGCGGGATGAGCCGGAGATCTCAGCACTTATTAACAATAACATTTCTCCTGTGCTCTGATCTCAGGAAATATACCGCCATCTTTTCCAGATAATTGAACTTGTCTCTGAAAGTGTGATCAATGTGGTTCTGAATGTCTACTGAGTTTCCTGCTATTTTAATATAATGGAAATGTTTGCCAACATTTGCCCTACATGTGAACTGTTATGTTCCATGTATGATTAAGTATTGCTACAGTACAACGGTGTAGAATTTCAACATCATCACAACAGCGCTGTCTTTGTGAGTCACTATGTGCTCCTTTGGGGGTGTTAAGAGGATTGAGGTCAAATGTTATCACTGTTTCCGTGCTTGTAAAGATTCAATATAACATACCTTAACAGTGTGATCAGCTTATCTTATCTACATCAGGTTTGAGGTAATATATACAAGGAAGAGCTATCACACCAGACAAAATATATTTATCAGTGTTCTGGAGACATACCTATGAGAGGGATGTGGGCTTTCTAAAGGTCACGAGACAGTTGTTGTTGGTTAAATGTCAATACATCAAAACTTTCACCTTTAAATCTGAGTGGAAAACATGCATCCCACAAATAACAACTTCTCAGTGAGCCAAAGTTCAATCTGACAAATATAATCATGTCACTTGTAGCAAAACACAAGTTGCACACTTGTCAAAAGGAACAATTATATACATATATCTAAGCACAAGACCAGTCATAGCACGTTCATGTCTAACCATCAATCAACCTGTTTAACCGGGTGTTCATTTCTGCAGCTCCAAAAGTTAACTTGGAGCCCCCAACCAGACACACTGTTCTGTTATAGCCCTCTGTTTTATATGGGTCTCTCTGTGAATAACATATAGTTAAGTGCATGTTAGCATAACAGATTATACATTAAAGGTGATAAAATATATGTAGACAGGAGTGATTTATGGATCAATGTTGCTCCTACAAAGAATAGATGTATAGTTATTTTTGTTTTCTTTAGTAATCTACTTACAGCGATACACTGTTGTAGGTATTGAACTTTTATTGAACTGTTACCACTGCATACTTTGGATGGAAATGTCCATTGTTTTCTTTTTCTGTGCCTCAATTGGATTGGTGACAGGACAGGTGACAGTTAAGAGACAAGTTGTAATATAGATTAAACTCCCCAAAAGTATATAAATCAAACACATTTTCTTCCCATAAAGTTAATGTTACTGTATGTTATTGCATCAGTAAAACTAATAGAATATTATAATAACGTTATAAAGACAGGACCCATTCTGCTTAACAAGTATTTTCTACTTAAGGTATGTTTTACTGATATTTTAATTTCAAAACCTTTATTTGCTATTAAGATTTGCAGTAGTTCTGATTTGCAATGCATGCTGTATATAAAAGGCTCTTTGGGGGAATACCATGTTTAAAATACAAAGAGTAGAACCCGGTTTCAACAAGTATTTGTATGTCATTAAATAGCTATAATTTTGAGGATTTTTCAGTACTGTATCTGCAGTTATGGGAATTTTAGCTTGGCAATTTTATAAATGTAATACATCTTTATTTTAACACCAGAAATGTGTTGTGTTTTCGTTTACTTCTACTATACAGTAGATTGTTGTAATCTGTAACAGTGAAAGCATCTCAGGTTGCACATCTGGTCCAACAGCACCACCCTGCGTAACTGCTGCCTCATGCACAATCACAACCACAACCACGTACCCATTGACACAAAACTACATCTCCCAGGCTCCTCTCTTTAAGGGGCAGGCAGTCATGCGGATGGAAACAGGAGTGGGCATCCGCTGCGCTGCACGAAGAAGAAACTTTGAGTAAAGATGCACGAAGAGGAGGATGGCAGCAAAGCAAAGTCCTGCAGAGCTTCTCGGATTGTTGTCTCCAGATCTGTGGAAGTGGCCGACAGCGACGCAGCGAAGGAGCAGGCCTCCAAACTGTGCGGATACCTGAACAAACTGTCCGGCAAGGGGCCTCTGAGGGGGTACAAGCCGAGATGGTTCGTGTACGATCCGAGGAAATGTTACTTGTATTACTTCAAGACTCCCCAAGATGCCTTGCCGCTCGGGCACATCGAGATCGGCGATGCGAGCTTCAGCTACGATGTGGAGGGGGAAGAGGGCCAGTTTGAGATCCGCACCGCCGGGAAGGAGTTCCTGCTGAAGGTAGAAACTTTTCAGCATGTGTCGCTCTGCTTTGCTGTCATTTGTCACTTCCTTTCTTATTGTGGAAAAAGGCAGACACACCCATTCTTACCTAGTGTTATTCACAGCCTTGATTTATGTTGGATATGCAAAATACTTCTGCTGACAGTACTGTGATTTGACAACTTTTAAAGAAAAGCTTGATTAAAAAGAGCCTCTTTTAATATTTACAAGGCTTTCTAACTTTCATACCAAAACTGCAAATATGTTTTGGTATATCTATATTTCATGTAAATATGTATACTATATATTAATGTTATAAGGTTTATTTTAATTGTTTTATTTATTGGTCCTTTTCCTACAATGTATCTTCTTTGACTGTGTTTATGTATACACCAAGACAAACTCCTTGTATGTGTAAACCTAGGGCAATAAACCTGTTTCTGATTCTCATTCTGAAAAAAAATCCAATATGCGTGTATCATGGTTGCCAAACAAGAGCTTAATCAGCACATTACTCAGCTGATTGCACTGTTTACATGGATAAACTATTTTAGGGTATGCACATGAGCTCATCTGCCCCCATGACCCCACAGCTTTTGAAAGGGTCCTCTCATGTGATGATGGTGTCTTCTCTGCCATCATGTGACTGTGACAGGTAGCTCTGGGCTCACTCAGCCAGCTGCTCGCTAGAGTCTGGAACATTTTCAGCATATGGTGTGAATGGTTAATACCAAACAGCTTGCAGTGCCTGAGGCTGGAACTGAGACTGAAACCAGCGCCTGCTCTCATTCACATGACGGATCCAAAGAGTAACCTGCTATTTAAAGTGCACTTAGGCTGTTGCATATGCTTTTTTTTAATTCCACAGATACTCTCCTTTTCCTTGCCATGCTGTATTGATATCAATGTTAAAGATTGCATTGCCTTTGTAGCTTTTATGGCTAAAATGTATTTCCCATGTTGGTAAATTGTGTGTATTTGTGTGTTTTTTAAAGGCCCCCAGCAGGCAGGTGATGTATTTCTGGCTCCAGCAGTTACAGCAGAAGCGTTGGGAGTACAGCAACACACGAGTCTCCGGTCAGAGAGACAGCTGGAGCTCCCCGACTATGGCCTACCCCCCCACCGGCCTCGTAGGCAAAGAAGGTAGACACATACATGCACACAAACATACATGTATGTGTATGGAAACTCATTTTCATAGCTTGGTTACCTTGTGATAAGGCTGAAGGTAAACACCTGTATCTGAGAGATTAATATTTACACAAGTCGAGTTATTTTGTCGCCAGGTTCCCGGGTAACTACTGAAGGAGCAAGTAGGAGTGGATATGATAGGAGTGGTTAGTCAAGCATCAATTAAATGAGAAATCAAAGATACAGCTAAAGAAAGGAGTTCACATCTACTTTATCTGGGGTGTGTTTGATTTAAATGCAAAAAATCTCACTGTGTGAACTTCAAGTGTTTTTATAAGTAGCTGCCACTGTTATATGATAGAATAAAGGCAGCCTAAAAGCATTTACATTATAAACAACAAAGAGGATGTACATAAAATATAAATACTCAGTGTAATATAATTTGAACACCATCAATATAAGGTGTTATGGCTATCCAAACAATGTGTGTGCACCAAAGTTTTGTTATTCTACTTCCTGGGAAAAGACGCTGTAAGCATGACGCTTCTGTGGACTTTTCACATTCTAGGTGTTGACCCTTGACCCTTATGAAGTCAGACATGTTAGTCACATGGTTTGACTGAAAGATAGGTTGAGCATAATATCTTTAAATCACTGTTTGTTGCTGCACTTTATGGATTTGGCTTGTTTTTATTTTTTGGGGTTATACAGCTGTTCTGATCCCATCATTTCTGTCAAAGATTTGACATCATGTTCAAGCAGTCCAGGATATTCTGTAAAAAGAGACTAAAATATGACATTTTGAAGGACATAAAAAATCCAGGGAAAGAGAGTTTAAAAAAACTATTTCAGTTCTGAACTGGGACCAAAGTAGTTCATATTATAACATCAGAAAATATATTGTATTTAGGAAATAAGTTATCATAATATCAAGGAATAGCTTCTTACTCTCAGGTCAGTAAAGGCACACTTACAGTTTAATTTGTTTAAACTGCTGTAGCTGAGGGGAAATGAGCTGTAAAAAGCCTCTTCCTTTTCCTGTCATTACATATGCATGACTAATGTTTTTCTTTTTAAATAATAAAAAACAAAACACTAATGTTAACTTTGTGTTTACAACATTTTAAAGGTATTTAGTTAAACATATGTTTATACTTGATTTTGTTTATTTGTATAAAATACATAAAGTTTAAACATTGTACAGGTCCAAACAAGACAGATTACCTCAAATACCTCACAAAACAAAAATGGAATTATAAAGGGCTTAAAAGTACTTCAAATGTTTTATATTTTATACATAAAATTGACACCCTGGGTTGTTTTTCGTCTTAGAAGTTCTTGACCTTTTGTCAGCGAGCTGTGATGAAATGTTTCGTGTGCAAGAGAAATTTGTGAAATTAGTAATCTCCTTAACTGGAATTTTCTCTCACGCGGGGCAGAGGATATTACATGTTTTATGTTGCTCTTTTTGCCCGGCTACTAGTGAAAGATCAAAATGCCTAAGCTTCTCTTCACACTATAAACAAGATGCAGGAATATCTGGTAAAATAGTAAAATGATACGGTGCATCAAAACAACCGATGCTTTAAATGCGGGACTAATTTGTCCATATTAATAAAGCAGGCACAGCTTTAGAGAGGCTGGCAGGATTAGTCTTTCTTTTTTTGAAGATGTCAGCTGAAATGTTTAATCGGTACACAATGAGTTTGAACAAAGTCCTACAGTGTCACAACAGCTACAGTATGTGGTTCCCACTTTGAACAACATTTCTGTGGAGTTGGTTCGCCTTTATAAAATGTTCCCTTACTTAACCAACTCATTTCATACAAAGAGGAAACTTGACTTATTGTCATGATAATGTAATTTCCTCAACAAATAGATGATAAAGCAGCGGTCCTGATAAACAGTTCTCGTGATATGAGTAATGCGTTATTATAATCATGTTCTTAAAATGAATTTTAATGTAATTTCAGATGCGCTCGTCTTTGAGAAGCTAAGTGAAAGCATGGAGAAGGTCCGCCACGACTTTGCTCTGGAGACAGAAACAGATGGTGGAGGGATGGTGGGGATCCAGTCAGCCCGGGGGGGGCCTTCTGCCGGGTCGACAAACCCCCTCAACTTCTCCATCAGAAACTTCGGTACAGAACTCAGGTATGGCTGAACAATGATTATGATATCGTACCCATAAGTGTTTGTTTTGAGTTCCTGTCAAACTGGCACAACCAGTTTTATCTGCTATGTGCCCCGAAATAAATTAACAAAGCTACCTCTTTTAGTTGTTCCTGAGGTTCACTCCAGGAGAGGAAATTATTGTATCCATAGCTCACTAGTTCTAGTGTGCAACCATCAACAGTTCCCTTTCTGGGCCGTACAACACGTCTATTCAAATGAAGCAAAACACTGAAATGCTCAAAATGTGACATGGTTTGGAATTTGCTTTGTATCTCTGATAAGAAGAGAGTTGCACATGATTCATGGAGCATTCATTCTTATAGCATCTATTTTCATGATGATATCTCTTGTTTTGAAATACATTGACTTGTATCAGTTGTAACTTATGATCAGGGCAGAAATGTCTTACAACAAGACACTTTGCTGTAACACCTCTTATATGTATGAGGTGAGAGAAAGGCTTGAAGTTCATGCAGCTGCACACAAATAATCGTGTGGTTGCAGTGGTCTCACATTTAAAAGTGTGAAAACATCAGTCTCTACGGGCTTATAGGCCCTTTTTATATTTGCGGTAAAGAATGCCTTCCATTTATGTTTGTTTTTAAGAAAGCCCTATGTGTAAATTATACTCTCCTTTCAAGTGAAAGCTGGACATCTCTACCTGTATTGTGTGTTGCATTGTGTACAGCTACAGTTCTGTTGCCAGTGCCTGTGGGAAAAGTGTAAAGACCTCAACAAAGGCCGTTTGTGCTAATGTTACCATTTACAAAGTAGCAGCACAAGTTTGCCCTTGATCCCTGTGAATCATCTACATAGTAGCAGACTCTTAATGTCAAGCAGCACGACAGCCCCACAGTCATGGTCTTACTCATCCTTACTTCTGGTTTCTGTTCTCTCAGGAACTCCATGTCTTATCTGCGGCCAGGCAGAGGAGGTGAGAGCAGACGCAGTATGTTTTACACCAACAGCAACAGCAGTGCGGAGGAGTGGGAGCTCGTGGACACTCCAGCCAAGGACTTCGCCGAACAGAAACATCCTCCAGACACTCACAGAAGTACGTCCACTCCCTGCTTCCTCTGGACATACTCAGTTACATCCCGCAGAGAAAAGAACTGTCTTTTATTGCTCCACTCATTTGCTCAATACTCTGACAAACAGACAAACAATGCATTATTCCCAAGAGATTCTGTCTGCTCAACACAAGTCACTCATTTAATTACGTATTTATCTCTCCTCTCTCAGATTCCTTTGGATCAGCGTTTACATTCGACTTTGTGCGCAACTCAGCGCGACCCAGGAAGCCTTTGCTCAGAGACAAGATGGGCTCTGGGAGGTTCGGGCGCTCCGCAGAGACGCGCAGTGCAGAGAACTCCCCGGTGGAGTGTAACGGCAGCAAACCTTTTGAGATGCAGCTTCGCCTCCAGAGCCAGCAGGAAGAGCTGAGCCGCATGCAGCAGGATCACGCCAAACTCAGAGAGGAGCTGGCCAGTCAGAAGGTACAACTATCCTGTTATTTCGCATATGTTGATCACATGAAAACATTCTGGGGTAGAGTCTACAGAAAGAGTATGGGGAAATGGTTACAAATATTTAGATTGTGATTCACTAAAAGACATGTTTTTGGTTAGTAGTATTCACTTTAATGTTTAGAGCTTCATTCAGAGGGTCTTGTTAGGTTTCTGAACTGTCGATTCAGGCTGTTAGTCATCATACCAATGGTTTTGTTTACTGTAATACCTACAAATTAATGTAGAAAAACTGTAAAGGCTGAATTGACTTAATGTGTGTATTATCTTAGGATGTATACCAGGTTGACTCAAGTGGTTTTGCTAACACTTTAGTTTATTCAGCACATGCATGGTGTCTGACTGAGCAGTTTGGTGTAATCCTGATGCTCTCACTAATACGGGAAGACAGCAAATGATTAGTCATGCTTTAGTGAGAACTGAGGAAACTGCAGTTCTTTCAACAACAATCACATTTGTGACGTTCCTTCCCATTGCTCTTTGTACTTGTTTCAGTGTTTTCAACTAGCAAACTGGTCACAATTGCTACAACATTAACCAGATAAATATGTAATGTGTGAGTATATGCTTCCCTGTGATATGGCTCACTGGCATAAAACGTTTGAGAAAAGTTAAAGGAGGAAGTGATTCAGTTGGTTGAATCTGCGTTAGTGTTATTGGAAATGTTCAGTCATTCCTGGTTCTGCTTAGCTCGTATGGACTAAAGCAGACCGTAATAATATTGATTTATGGCCTTCAGGTAATGTTGGATCTAGACATTTTTTTTTGTAACATTGCAAAGAAAGAAATGTTTCCACCTATTCTTCTTTGTATGTGGTGCTCATGAGAACAATGCCATTCTTTCTTGACAGAAACTATGTTGGGCTTTTCTCATTTCATTAATTGTCATTCCTCTGTCTGGACAGTTTTTTTTACCTTGCCATCCACAATGTTAGGAAACAATGAAAACTGTTTGTGTTTGTCCCAGTTACTTTATCTACTAATGTGTGACCATGTAGGTCACACACACTTGTGCAAATATGTGAGCCAAGTATCTGCACTTTCGCCACAGTATACCCCTAATAATATACACGCTAAACTTCTGTTATTTAGTCTCATGCTCTGTCATTACATGCAGCTGGTTATCTGTGCATTGTTCGGGCTGTTGTGCTGCTTAGATGGCCTGTGTCAAACAGTGTGAACTAGCAGGGCTTCTTTCAGCTAATTATTTGGTAGAGAGGGGAAAACACACTCCCTGAAGCATTCAAATTACTTTGCAAAAACAGCAACAATAAAATAAAATGAAAATTGGGACTATGTTTTACCATGAAGTATAAGATAATTGTGATTGTTATATAATAGATAATTATAAAAAGGTTCTTTCATTTTTAATGACGTTGTGTGGTCTTCATTTTAGCTGAGATAGCCAAACTCTCCTTGAACATATTGTAGTTAAATAGTTTATTGTTAATAATAAAAAATGGGCTATTGTTACTTCTACGATATATGTTATGACAGAAAACAATAAATTCATTTTGGAAGCGACACTTGTTTGGTTATATAGTTATGCTTCTGGACCCAGCAGTGTAAAGTGTAAGAAATTATGAGAAGGAATAAAAATGATGTCCAAAGTAATTATGTGCTGCAGTTATTCAAGTAAAATTCCAGCAAAGAGAATATGCAACTGTCCCACATTTTAAGGCATAATCTTGACCCTGTAAAATGTTGTGTTGACAAATGAAATCCCCTTTCCCCGACAGGAGCTGGTGAGGCTCCTGCAGCAGACCCTGAGGACCTCGCAGTGCGACAGGCAGCCGGTTCACCGTCCAGCCCCGGCTCCAGATCCATCCGCAGCTTCAGACCAGATTCAGGGTCCGGCCGTAACCCAGGAAGGGGTCGCCCAGGCGGAGGCCCTGCTTCAGGAGAAAGACGGACAGATCCAGGCCCTGTGTGGCCACATGGAGCGCCTCGCCTTAGAGAAGGAGAGTCTGCAACAAGAGCTGAAGGGCCTGAAGATAAAGGTGGGGGAGATAAACGACCAGCTGGGGATGCTGATGGAGACCATCCAGGCCAAAGATGAAGTCATCATCAAACTGTCGCAGGAGGGCTCCGAGCAGAGCGGCAACCCAGACAACGGTTCACCCCCTCCCTACAAAGATCAGCAGGAGGTGGACATCCTCAAGGTACAGAAAGAAACACGAGGAACCAGATTTAAAGCAAATAGAATGTAGACAGATCATCTGAACTGAAAGTGTATAGGACTATATCAATGATATTAGGTTATAGAATGAACTTCTTAAACTGTAGACATTTTAAAGCTGTTTTCAAATGTTTTCTCATGGTTTGATTATGCTCTAGTTAATGTTTTACTCTGCGTAACCCAATACATGTTTCTCCAATTTCAGGACAGTCTTCAAGGCTACAAAACCCAGAACAAGTTCCTGAACAAAGAGATCCTGGAGCTGACCGTGTTACGCAGGAATGCAGAGAGCAGAGAAAAGACCTTAGAAGCAAAGGTATATCTTGTGTTTGTTCGTAATGGTGTAACTCTGTTAATAGAAACAGGAAGTCTGAGTAGCTAGCAGGGGAAGTGCAGCATTGGCCCCCTTAACCTCAAAGTCCCAAGTAGAAGCAATGAATAATGCAACATGATCTTGCCTGCCGTCAGTTATGATAACAAAGATGCTGATTATATTTCTCTGTTATCTCTGCTGCAGTATACGTCCCTGGAGGCCAAGCTGTGTCAGGTGGAGAGTAAGTATCTGGTGCTGCTTCAAGAAGTGAAGAACCCGGTGTGTTCGTCTTCGGAGCAGAGCCCAGCCCGAGAAGTAATCTCCAGATTACTGGAGGACGCGCTGCAGGTAGAGAGCTCCGACCAGCAGGACCACCTCATCTTCAAACCAAATACTGTCAGGTATGGCCAAAAAGCTGTTATGAATGGATGTTACGATAGATGTTTTTTTTTCCCACACTTAAAAGTATGTTTCATTTCTCTATAATGTTCTGATTTTAACTGATTTATATAAGTGTCTAAGTTGTAAGAGCAAGTTAAAACTATTTTACAGACTTTAAAATACATGTTTCAGTTCATTTATACATGTTTTGCAAACAACTACATGTAGAGGCTATCACATTTGACAGGTCTGCTAACTTTGCTGAGCCACGGAAACTGCATTCAGTAGAAGCTTCTGAATGCGGCGCTTCGCGTCCTCCGAGTAAATCGCCAGAAGCGCCGACACATCCTCATCACTCCACCGCTCCGATGATTTATATAGTGTTGCTATAATAACTGCTTTCACAAAAGTAATCTCTTCGGGTGCGCTGGCCGAAGCGAGCAAATACAATGGCCGCTTACAAAAAAAAATTCAGAGTCAAACGGGCGTGGTTTGCATTCCGCACAGCCAATCAGACGTACAAACTATTTTCTCCCACGACAGTCCCTGCTCTCTAGCAGGGACTGAAAAGCGGGTCGGACGAACTAATTTGAACTACTTTAGTTCCTGGGGCTTTTTGGTGTGAACGCAAATATATCGTAGTTCTGATGAACCATTGTGGGAAAAGTACTCCAAAGTACTCCGGTGTGAACGCGCCTATTGTAGTTCAAATGTATCCAGAGTATCACTAAAATATATCTAATAACATATAAAAGACAAACCCATTGCAGGAGAGTAGACCTAATAATATAATGTCTTCATCAGATCTGTTTTCATTTTGTCTTTACTGGAAAAACTAGCTCTGCTAATTAGTATTTTGTTTGCTATTGCTGTTGCTCTGCAAGCTCAGGCATGTTCTCGCCAAAATGTATTATAAGTCATTCAGGCGATCTCTACAGTAACTGATGTAGCATTGAAGGCAGGTTAAGCAAATGTGGGTCCCTATAAAAGTGTAAATAACTTTTATAGTGAATTTAGCATCACTGATTGATGATTATCTCCCCCATGTTCTCTCTTCCCTGATCTAATATCAGTGAGTATGACACGTTCGGCTTCAAAACCGTCCCTGAGGAGGAGGAAGAGGAGGAGAAGCTGGATGCGAAGGTGAGAGCTCTGGAGCTGAAGTCCCTCTCCATGACGGATCAGGAGGTGTCCGTCGGGGTGAAGTGGGAGAACTATCTGTCCAGCATCATGAACAGAGACATGGTGCGCTCCCCTGAGCTCAAGGCCCTGTTTCGGAGCGGCGTTCCCCATGAGCACCGCTCCAAGGTGTGGCGCTGGTGCGTTGCCTTCCATGTCAAGAAGTTTAGGGACCACCTGCCGGCAGACTACTATGAGACCCTACTGAACGTGGCCCGGGACAAGCCCAACCCGGCCTCCAAGCAGATCGAGCTGGACTTACTGCGCACTTTGCCCAACAATAAGCACTATTCCTCCCCGAGTGCCGCCGGGATCCAGAAACTCAGGAACGTCCTGATGGCTTTCTCCTGGAGGAATCCGGATATCGGCTACTGCCAGGGACTCAACAGGTACAAGACGGACTCTACCATCTCTCCTTCTCTTCTTTTATGCCCTTTAACCACTTATATTCATTGTATGTCATTTCTTCAGGCTGGCAGCTATTGCCCTGCTCTATCTGGACCAAGAGGACGCCTTCTGGTGCCTTATAGCCATTGTGGAGGTCTTCATGCCAAGAGACTATTACACAAAGACTCTGCTTGGCTCACAGGTAAACAAGCTCAACGGTGCAAGCATTGGGACACATAGAGACATGTTTCTACCTCATTAACCAGAGTGTACAGGTTTCACTGCTGTCAGTGTGGGCGTATTCATGTGACTTATAATTGATTGTAGAATAATGCAGCAGTAGTGATCAGCACTGTTTGATTCCTTTCTCTCTTCTGGATGGTTAATCCTAATGTAAAACAAAAGTTATCTGTTGATGATGAAGAATTAACTAATGTTTGTTGGTTGGATCTGTGCAGGTTGACCAGCGTGTGTTCAAGGATCTGATGTGTGAGAAGCTCCCCCGGCTTCATGTCCACTTCGAGCAGCACAAGGTAGACTTCTCCCTCATCACCTTCAACTGGTTCCTGGTGGTGTTTGTGGACAGTGTGGTGAGCGACATCCTCTTCAAGATCTGGGATGCCTTTCTCTACGAAGGTCCAAAGGTGAGAGGCAGACGAGACCGTAAAGCTTTGATCCTCTGAGCTCACATAACCTGATTTCTGTCTGGACATGCTGGCAGAGCTCTGAAGGAAGCTACACAATTAGATAAGGAGAGCATCAAAAAAAGGGCTGTAGCATTTCAGTTGGCTGCATTTTTAAATGGGCCTTCTTCTACAGATGGTATGTAGGATTAGTTTTCTGCTTGTTCAAGTTCCCACAAGTGCCAGTTGTTTGGTTCAACCCACTGTTTTCCAACCTTATCTAACCAGCAACTCATAGTGAAGAACCCAAATGTGTTTACACCAAACCCTTCACAACCCTCTATAAGAGCTTTTCTTTTTTGCAAGCAAATTGTTTGCTAACAGTTTTGTCACTGTTTATCTCTGTTTCGGGCAGTGTAATTTGTTATTAATTTATCCAGCAGAAGCATAGCAACATTGCATTCATTTGGAGTTGTGTTTGTGACTAAAACAAATATTCACTTTTCTTTTTAGTTTCGGTTTTAGCCTCTTATGGCAACACTGTGTTTACCAGTTGATCTGAAGACCTTGGCTGTCTGCTTTTTTTGTGTGGTTCAGCTGGTGGACACAAAGTCTGTTGAGCTTTTTCATGAAAATATCAGTCAGAGGGGTGAAGGTGAACTAAAACAGTATAGTTGAACTTGTGAGCCAACAAACCAAAACACTGAGTTAAAGAAAGCTCTAAAACTAAAGCTATTCAGTAGAGCTGAGAGGAACTGCAACGTTTTGTAATAATTCTGTGTGTTCATCACTATGGGCAAACACTTTAACACACAAGTCATGTGATACCATTGTTGCCATATGAATATATATATATATATATATATATATGCACTGCTCTGTGGTCGGATTCACAATTCTGTTCAGGTATTAACTTGATGAATGAAACACTTTTTTTTCATAACAAGACTGTTTGTTCAGACATTCCTCTAAAATAAATACAAATCGCCTCTAGTCTTTTAAAGTGTCCTCGCATGTCAGAGGCATGATGTGATATGTTTCATTATCGTACGGTCATGCATAGATAGTCATGAAATAGATTTCATGGCTTCGGTCATTTTTCTCCACAGATCATGTTTCGCTGCGCCCTCGCTCTCTTCAAGTACAAAGAGGAAGAGTTTTTGAAGCTAGAGGATTCCACAGCTATCTTCAAATATCTCAGACACTTCACACGCACAATCCTGGATTCAAGGTACAGCGTCCGCAATGGCTTATCATATCTTCATGCTCTGTGGCCGGTTTACAAACAAGCATCTTATCTACAGTCTAATATGAGTTGTAACTTGAAACATATTAAACAGGACAGCATGCAGAATAAAAGCAAGCCATCGCAGACTGATATCCTTGTTTTGTTTTTTCAGGAAGCTGATGAACATCGCTTTTGGGGACATGAACCCGTTCCCCATGCGGTCGATCCAGAACCGCCGCTCCTTCCACCTGGAGAAGGTCCGTCTGGAGCTGACGGAGCTGGAGGCCATCAGACAGACCTTCCTCCGGGAGAGAGAGACGACTCAGGACAGGCGGAGCTTCGTCAGCGACGATGAGGAGGATAACTGAGGTTAAGCCTGCTGCTGAAGTATGAAGAGATCATGTCCAGAAGTCCCTGATGTGTCGCAGTTGAAAAGAGATGGTTCCTAAAGGATTGTTGGAGTTGTTTTCCGAGACAGACCAATCAACTTTTATACATTTTGATTGAAACTGCATCAAAAGGCCAAAACATTACAAGCCGTATGGGCTTTCTATCAGTATTCCTGCCATTTAAAAAAAAAAAAAAAAAAAAGAAAAGAAAACGTTATTATTGTATGCTTTATCATGTCTCTTCCACTTTCAATGCCAAACTTTACTTTTGCCGTCCGAATCAGTATTTCTTTTTTCAACTTGGCTGTGATCTTTTAATCTTAGGCGATTCTGTGCCTGTTGAAGGATTGATTGTATTGTAATTTTTCTTTTGTTTTACTTTTTGCTGTCTCTGCCCCAATTCCTTTCACACATATCTTCAGATTGTTCCCTTAACCCTAACCCTTAACCATTCTTTTTATATTTTCCCAATGCCACTCAACAACACACTTTTGTATTTTATCCCCGCCTATCAAATGCACTTAAATCACTTATGCTGAAATTCAAAATGCGCTGAAAAGTCTTGGAGCCTTATGATCACAAAGTCGTTCCACATCGTGCACATCGTTCCAGCCTCACAGGTGTTCGTATTAAACAAGAATACACACAAAGGTGTTTTCAAGAATCCCATGTATTAATTATTAGTAAAACAGCAACATTACGAGGAAGAATTTTCCCATTTTATTATCTCAGGATTCAGATTAAATAACTTCCAAATTGTGAGATTATTTTTGTTATGTCATTTCAAACTCAAGTTCCACTTAATTACTCTATGTTCCCAAAGACATGTCTGGTAAACGAATACTTATTTACATCTAAATTTGCGCTTAAAAAAGTAACAGGCAGTGGATTTGGTTAGCAGAATAATTGAAAATAGCATTGACTTCAAAATACCATGTCAGTGAATCTATAGAAATTACCAGTCTGACCATTTTATTTTACGTATTCTAAGATATGTGAATTAGTGATGTCTTAATTTTTCTAAACATAAATTGGGTTTGTTAGGTGTTTAAAGCGTTCAATTTCCCCTTATTTTGCCAGATGTACATGCATAATGCTGTTATTTCTCCTCTGATGTATTTGCATCTCTTGTCCACAGTGTGGCAGTATAACATTGTGTCTCGCCTGTGTTTACAGTTGTTCACAGGTACCCTCCACACAGTATGATTTATACAGTTTATTATACTGTTCTGATAAAATGGCTGTGTAGTCCATCTGTCGGTATGATCGTGTGTGAAAAATAGAAATATGATTTGTAATCTGAGGGAAGTGTTTCAGGATATTTCAAGACGTGTGTAGCAACATCTTTCTTCCACATCCAGGTACTTACAAAAGACAGTTGACTATAGCACTGTGACCGTCTTCTCTTTTACGACATTTCTTTGTTTTTTATGTTTAACAGACCCGTTGGGGAAAACTGATCTGCTTGCTTAGAAAGAAACCATGTTTATATTTGGTAAATCCACAGTGGAAAACTGTTGTTTGAATGGGAATCTTCAAGACAGGGAGACATTATAATTACTTAGCCGCTTCTCTTGTATGCTGATATATTGTTTACAGTTACTGTTCTTTTTTTATGTTACTTTTAAGCTGTTTACAGATTTTTCCTTGCTGTACGTTATATAATTGACTTCCCTTTCTCTGCTTCAGATCAGCTACAGCATCATGTTACTTCTCTGTTAGACCACCTGAACTTGTTAACAGTTGTTATAATTGTAGTCGTTTATAATGAGGGATACAGGAATGTTGGATGACCTGTTGAAGCAGAGATGGATTTTGTATTTCTCCATGAGAGCAGGTCTCTCTAGAGATTCGACTTTGATTGGTTTGAGATAAAAGTTTTCTGGGGCCCATTCATTTTGTCATACAGTACTTTTGCCCATATTTTAAAACATATCTGTTCTACGGCTGGTTCACATTTATCTTTTGTTTTCATATGGAATAAGCTACATTTATTGTATTACCCTTTCTTTCTTTTCTCTGTTGCCTTCTTTCCCAGCAATGTATTGCACAAGTATAATGATAAGTTGACTTCAGAATGATATGGGGTACTTCACTTCTTTATATGTAAACCTCTATGGTATCTTGTTCATTGTTAATCTGTATCAATTAATCATAAAAACTGCAAAGCTTTTATGTTACAGCATTAAGTATACGCCACTGTATGTTTTTGTAATACCAGCTAAAAGACAAATTCAATAAACAATGGCTGACTTGAGTGTGAGTTGTTTATAAGTAAATAAGTAAAAAGAAACAGCTTGCTTTGGTAATCCTCAGTTCCTAAAATGCTTGTTCAAAATAAACAGCAGACATGTCGGTCATCTTTATTGATAGCCTGCCTCTCATGCGTGCAGTTTCATAATGGAGCCATCAGGGGGAGGGACTTCTGAAGACACAAAAGCCTGATGGAGCTGCCATAAGTGACAGAAAACAACAGAGGAACGTTTTGTGCCTGAACTGCAGCCATGAGGACAGACAACCGACTGTAAAGAACCGATGCAAGTTTATCATCAGCTCTGCGTCCAAAAGAAGTTACAACATAAGGTCAGTTTGTGGAGCCACTTCATGGGTGACATAAAACGTATCAGAAAGTCTAGTATTTCAGTTTTCTTCTTTACATTTGTGTATGTACCATTGTTTTTTACTGGATAACTATTCTGTTTTTAAACTCTAATTCAGAGTAGTAACATTGTTAAGAGTTCGAAAGCATGTGTTGCTGCCAATGTCAGCCTTTTTGCCAGACTAAGGGTTTCATAACAGTAGCACATTTCACATATCCTGCCCTAATTACCCAAAATGCTCTTTCCTTTCATTATTAATCCTGTTGTAATCATTAGACTGTTACACTTCCCAATTTGGCACTGTTTAATGAGTTGTGCCTGTTAGTTTCTAAACTTTCTAATGAACAGTATTTCGACAAATGAAAGACGGATTAAGTGCATATTTTTAGATTGTGTTTGCTGTTGATTTAAAAACCCTCCTTTGCTGTTGTTAAAGCTTTCTCAACAGGCAGTGAAAGTAGGTACACCTCTGCGATGGAATGCTATACAGCAAGCTGGAACTTGTGAACATATTCATCTCTTCAGTCAGAAATCACCAGGAACTCCTCTTTCTATCTGCAGGGTTGGACTTGCTGATTAGGAGAAGAAGACTTCTGAATAGAAGGGCTCCAGTGGTGCTCATCAAGGAGATACATCACATCAATGAAGACGCCTGGCATGGCGGTATTCAAGCAACAGAATGTGGACGATTTCTATGAAATTGGGGAAGAACTAGGAAGGTAAGTGTGTTTCAAAGCTGTACATTATGAAATGTTGATTTCAACCCCTTAGAAAAATGATCCTCCTCATGTTTGTATGACTAAGAGTGACTCAGCTCTCCACTGCATGCCTCTGTCGTACCACAGCAGTGATCCTCATGTGTGGATGTAGGTCTGCAAACAGCTGGCTTGTTTAAGCATGAAATGGGGAGTGTTGAAGTAGGTTGAAGTTTACAGCGAGAGATAAAGTTTCAAAAGTAAATACACTCTAGGAAAACAACCTCTGTTTGGCACGATATGTTCTAACCAAGAAAGAGAGTCTAATTTCATTAACTGGTGATTGTTGGGGGATCAATTTGTTAATGTTGATTGGATGAGTGATAATCAAATGTGACATTGAAAACACTTTGTCCCAAGGGGAAATAGATTAAAGGAAGTGTGCAGGGTGCAGTTCGTGTTGAGGAAGCTATAAATCTACTCTTCACGTTAAGGACAGCTTTGGCGCGACTCGCTAACAGACAGAGAAGGTGTGAAAGAAAAGGGTCTGACCTCTCACCTTTCACTAATAGTGAAAATATACGTAATGTCCCGGTGTTTGCTCGCCATTTACTGCAGAGCTACTCTGACACACCCTGACAGGGGAAATTAAGACCTGGTGTTGAAATGTGACTCCAGCTGCATTTAAACCTCTGTACAGAAGAGTGTGTGTGTCCAGCAATCTCTCTCCTCATTTTGCTTCACAGATATCTGCCTCATGAAATAATGAAATGCATCTGCAAATTGAAAGATGTATTGTCATGAGGATAATAATGCAATTAGCTTAAATGACAATGGAATGTCGGATCTATACTAATGTATTAACATTTGTGAGCTTAATGTGTTATCGTCTTTGTTTTGAAATCTTTATTAATGAGTTAGAATATTATTCTCAAACATTAGGTGCCCTTTTGATTTATTAAAGAGGTGACAATAGCTCTTATTCATAGATTTTAATAAATGAAAGATTACTGAATTATTTTTCAAGAGTAGAACTCTAAACAAAAGTATATCAAAAGTCCTTTCTAAAGCGTATAGGTAAAGGATTGATAAAGGGTGTTACTGGAGAGTAAACCTGCTGTATGAAAGGCGTGTAAATGTGTTGTTTGAAGACTGACAATACCACTGTGGTTGGAAACATGTTACTTGATAACAATACCCTGCTGGGGGCTGAGCTCTGTCTGTGCTCAGCATCTCCGTCATGGGAAATAGAAAACTGATGTGGTTAAAAGCTGCAGATTCCTGCGACTGAAAACAGAAATGCCTTTTCAGTCACAGAAAGTTTCAGAGAACTTTAAAACCAATTCGGCAGCTGGGTTTCTTAGCTTGCAGTTCTTCTGAATTGTTGTGACAACTTTGTAGTGTTTTTGTAAGATGAAGCCCACCCCGCCTACAGTCTGTCAAAGCCTCATGGGCTCTCCAATGCACGCCACAATGGAAATATTACTCAATCCTCCTCTCAGGAGGGTGGGGAAATTTGATAGGGGGGGGGCAAAAACTGATCTGTGTTGAGTATTTAAGATGTTCTGAACCCTATGGAACTGTTGAGCCATTAGCTGCAGGAAAGTTGATTCATCATGCTGCAACCCTATTGACAGATTGTAATGTCAAAGGCCCCACGCAGTTGTACTCAATGTTCCTTTCCACTACTGACTATAGTTTTTGGTAAACCAATCTGTAGAACAACCCTTTGCTCGGGACGTTAGGCATTTACTTTCCTGTCTTACCGTCTGAGTGATGACACAGACTTACTGTATGATGACGTACAGCAGGAAGTGTTTCAGTGTTAACCCACAGCTGTCCTGTCCTTCCACAATACTGCTGAGACTAGTGAACTGTTACACAAGTGACAGTAGAGCAGATGGAGAACTTTGTGAACTGTACCTGTCAACAACAGGTTCATTCTTGTCCATGTTTTTTCAGAACACCGGAGTACTTTTATACCTTTATTACATGATTGTTAATGCATCATCTTTGTTAGTCATCATCAAGCTACGGCAAGAATTCACAGGATGCATCATTAGACAGGAAGTGACATTGTCTTTGCATAGTAAAAGGATTGTAAACTTCCTCCTAATTTTGTAATCTGTGAATACTGCACTTTCATCATAATGGACTCTCTGTTTCAGCCCTGCTGGTCATGGCTCTAGCGACAGCAATATCTTCAGTGGGTCCACTGCTTTGGTCTAGCCTGAATTAACTTGACACTTTTGGATTGCAAATACACTAATGAACAGACATTTATCACACATAGAGGATGCTAACTTTGGTGATCCTCTAACTTTTCCTCTAGCATCACCATCCAACCCAGTCTCACGGCATTTCGTGTTATAGTCACGAAATGTAATCTATTGATTGGAAATCGTGTTCACCAACACGATTTCCAATTTTTTTTCGTGTCACACAGAACGATTTTAAAAGTAATGTAAATAATAACAAATAAGAAGGAAAAAAAACATTAAAAAATACAGATTTCAGTATTCTGACACAGAACGATGTATTTCTATTGGTAGTATGTTTCGTGCCTGCACCAAAATAATAACAAATCAGTATTCTGAGGCTCTGAGCCCCATTTATTTTCCTCACGGACGGCAAAAAAAAGTCCGACATTATACAATTAAAAATAAAAACAATAATCGTGGCTTGATATTGAGTAAGAAAATGTTTTTATGAACCACACAGCTTCCGGTCTTCCAAGACCCGACCGGACAAAAAGACGTGGTGCAGGGTTGGAAAGTACCACTGTCCCTAACTACATCTGCACAGAGCTGCTGTCTGTAGTCTGTTGTTATTGTATTACTCAAATCCAACTGAATGCAGGAACACTGAAAAGGTCACATCACACCACCCTTAATATGCAATGTATTTTACACTCTTTTTCTGTGTACTGCTGTATCTTTCATTTCTAGAAATACTCGCTGAATGCATGCAAAAGGGAAATGAATTAGAGAAATGTTTTCAGTTAGCAGAAGTTTGTTGTCTTTGGACAGGATGCAGAGAGGGCGGCGATTCACACTTAAGGCCGCAGCCCTCACAGGCGTGAGATGTGTTGATGTGAAAAGAGTTGACAGTCACAAGACAGGTGCTGCCGATGAACACATTATGGTGCTAAAATGTCACCAAAGGGATCTACTGTACATGATGTGTCTAGAGAAGGTACAGTAGGCATGCATTTACAAGGAGGGGGATAAGAATGAGTGTAGTCAGCTGTAAGGAACAGACATTCTTGCTGTTGAGTGGGTGAAAAATGTGTTTATTCAGTGCAGGCTGATACAGGGAACTCCACGTTGACCTCTTCGACATTCCCGGAGTTCCCCCTTTGACAGAGGTCACCGTGTTACTGTCAGCAGACACTCACACAGCCAGATGCATTGTTGACATTGGACAACATCAAAACAAGAGGGAATCTAGACTAGAGTATCCTGAACATGTTATGGTCATAATTGTGATATATTTCATGATAATAGGGTTTTCAGCACTCGATAAAACTATATTTTATTTTATAATTATTCTGAGCTGCTTCTTCGTCACATTGAAGATCACAGATGGTTAGGGACTGGGCTCGGTCAATTATATATCTGACTGTCTTTGTAACACCACCCCAGAGGTTCAGTTGAGAAATGTGTTTAAATATTGGGCCGGCGCCACTTGTCCGAGCATTCCTCCAACCTTGGCTGTGGATAATGACCTTCAGCTGTTGGAAGTGGAAACTCAGCGGGGAGACGGTGCTTTCAGCCCCACCGGCCGGCTTAGAGCTAAGACAGACGGCACGCCTGGCCCGCTGTGGAATACCACTCCCAGCATCCCCACTTTTCCCAGTGTTACTCTGCACCTCGTAGCAACACTTCAGTAAAGCCCCTTGCATTGGGCCACACCAAACACCACGAGGGGTCATTCTGTCCAAATCAAGGACACTGCTGCTGCCACGTGACAGGCCATGTTGATGTTTGTTTATACAAGTGGAATTCATTGAGCGAGTTCCCCTCCTCCTCAGGTCACACATTATCGTAGTCGTTTCAGTGTTCAGGGATATCTCAGGGGTGGAAATGTCCTGTGAACAGATAGACGGAGTATTTCAGATTCCTGCCCTGTCCTGCCATGTTTTTCCTTTGTGGAGTGTGTGTCTCTTTGACGACCTTTTTAACGATGTACACCCCCAACTATCTCCTGCATTCTCTGTTAGGTCATGTTCCCACTGATATCTGATCCTGACAGGGGCTTTTGTTGCCCTGATATGAACTAAAAAAGCTTAATAATAACTCCCAGAGGTGTTGTGGTTACATAAACCTCTCAGAAACCTAGAAGCTATATACTGAGGCATTTAAAACACCTGGGCAATTTAATGCAATCCAATACAAGTGCCCTTCAACTAATATTACTGTGTGTTTGAGACACTTACATTTAAGTTTTCTTCTTAGATTGTTGAAGAATTGTTGATTCAGATGTTTGAGGTAATATTTGATGTTCTCATTTTGTCCCTCCAGTGTATGTGGTTAAAGTACATCTCAGTAGGTGTTGTTTTATAGCGATGCAACGTTTCACTGCAGAGGACAGGGTGTGCCTCAACAAGAGAAAACTGGATCAACTGCCCAGCAATAACGCGGTTAAGGAAAGTTCCTTGTGTATTTAATCCATGTTTTTGTTTATTGTTGGGACGGAGCTGTCTCTTTGTTAGTACGGTTGGAGCACAGTTTTTATCCATAAGGGCTGTAACAAATGTCAGTTTTTTTACAATTGAAGTCTCTGTCTTGATTCAATTCAAAGATTCAAAGCCTTTATTGCCATATGCACAGTATGCATATGCACAGTATAGAGATGGCAAAGAAGATCTTAAGTCATAAGCTCCTCTAACAATGTAACATAATATAGATAAGACATAAAACAATAAAACACGTTTTAGGATTACATTTAAAAAGTGCAAGAAGAAACAGAGTAGTAGTAGAGTAGATCATAAATGATGTCGCAACCATCAATTATGGATTAGTATTCAACTCAATTGTTTTTTTCCTTAATTAATCAACTGAATAATTAATTTAACTTTTGCGTTGTTGTGCAAACTTTTGCTTTTAAATGACATTCACAAATATTCATATTTAGATGAAATTATGTTGGAAATGATGGAAATAATAACATCCATCTTTTTATTTTTATTTTACATTTTGACTTATAGACTTTACAACACTCTTGAGTCTTTAGAAATGTTTGGACTACATGAATTATAAACAAACCAACCCAAGCACTATTGGAATATAATTCTTCAAATAGTATAAGACAAAGTATTAAAGTGTTATTTCTTATTATCTGCAATATGCTGGATGGACGAATTAAATAATTAACAATTTAGTACATTTAAAATAATAGAGTAGGCAAGCAACAATCAAAAAGATGCACAGAATTCTATTGTTGATTAAAACATGTTGATGTCAACATTAATAAAAGATGCTTTAAAGCTTCAGCCCCAGTATCTGATTTGTGTTTTGGACAGCCTTCACCCAGCAGCTCCAGCAGGCTTTGCCCTTCTCCCCAGCAGCAGTGGAGATGTGGCAGGTGGAGAAGAGCCTATTCTTAGCGCACTAGACACCGTGATGATAGTGGACACAGACTGGACAGCCTCTCACAGCCACCCTGGAATCTCAGTGTGGACAGTTATGTCCAAAACATATGCCTGCCAGACCAGTAATGATCTGTGTCCTCTCTCTCTGTGTGTTCTTTCACAGTGTCTAAAAATACTTGTATGTTGCATCAAATAATTTCCACGGTTTTACAGTAGATTCTTCTTTCTACAGGCGTTAATAGGTTTTATCCAATCACGAATGAATGCAAAGTGGACTGAATGTTCCTCTTCTGTCTCATCTTCCCAACTCAGAAACTTTTTGCCAGCTCTGCCTCTTCACTCGCCCTCATGTTATTCTGCAGGATCAGTGACTGAGAGGCTTGTTTTCAGAGTCTGAATCTACAGAGAGCGCAGGTCAGCCCACAGCAGCAGGAGTGGCCGCAAGCTGAGATTACTGCTGGTCTGATAATACAGCCATGGAGACTCAACACATGTATTTAACTGGGCGACAGTGCTGGAAGATGTTTTGACACTTCTCAGTGGGTCAATTATAAGTGAAATGACTGTGTGGTTATGTCAGGGGAGGGTGATAATAAAGTTTAACAAGTTTACTGCAGTCACCATCCCTGTCGTTAGGCTGAGGCAACATTAGTCTACAGGATTTAAATAAATGTACTCTGTGCTTCAATCACAAGTCCACAGGCTGTAGAGTGAAAAGTGAAACAATTATCTGCTCAAAGACGGTCTCAAAGCCACACCTCTGTTGTGAAATATTCAGGGTTTTGGGGATTTTTTCTGAGGACTAATTCTCGAGACGAAGAATAGCTTGAAATTTGACAGGAAGGTTGGTTGAGTGGGAGGACAGCAGCTCTGTCCGCACTGCAAGCCTATCTGATTGTTCTCTGTCTGGCCAGGAAACAGGAAGTGATGAACTATACCTCAATATTTCCTCAGGTTTGACACACGTCTTCCTCCCTGACATCTGTCTTCACCCCGAGTTATATCCTGTTGTTAATTGTTAAGAATGTCATTATAAATTGTTCTCTCTCTTGAAATACGATACCTTTTAATATAAACACATTACGTTATTAGCATTTCATAATGTTAGTGCCTTTTTTCTTCTTTTGTGTCAACAGTGGGCAGTTTGCAATTGTCAAACGCTGCATAGAGAAGAGCACAGGCGTCGAATATGCAGCCAAGTTCATCAAGAAGCGTCAGAGTCGGGCCAGCAGACGTGGCGTTAAAAGAGAGGAGATTGAGAGGGAAGTGGACATCCTGCAGCAGCTCCAGCACAACAACATCGTATCTCTACATGACGTGTATGAGAACCGCACAGATGTGGTGCTCATCCTCGAACTGTAAGTCAGCAATCCGTCACAATACCTGTTAGAAATAGAGCGTTAAAACATGAAAACATCTCTACAAAATCCACTCTTTCTGAATCTGTGTTTGCTAAAAAAAAAAAGTTTGCCAATATCACGTGTGCCAAAGAACTAAATGTCTCTCTCAGAGTGGCTTGTGTTGAAAAGAGGCCTCAGAGGGCGCCGCTTGGGGCCAGCGAGTGCCGGGAACATGGAGCTCTCAATTAAGGCTAAAATAAAGCTCTGTCCAATCAAAGCAGAGGGAACAGACCGACATTTCCTGTTAGATGCAGGAGAAGACACTGTGTGACATTCAGTCTATTCGTGTGTTCATATAAAAGAAGGCCATGTTTATTGTCTGCCAGCTATTTAAAGGCCGCTCAATACCACATTTCACCACCTTTTTCAAGTATTGTATTATGCAAAGTAATATAGGTCACAGCTATGGCAAGTTTATTATTACAAACAATTATCTAAAACATCCTGAACCAGCGCTTCCAAATCCTGAGAACTCACTTTAGATAGCGCTCAAGAGAGTCCTTGCTCCAGATTATCTGAGCCCACAAGATGAGTCTCTAAGTGTGTGTGTGTGTGTGTGTGTGTGTGTGTGTGTGTGTGTGTGTGTGTGTGTGTGTGTGTGTGTGTGTGTGTGTGTGTGTGTGTGTGTGTGTGTGTGTGTGTGTGTGTGTGTGTGTGTGTGTGTGTGTGTGTGTGTGTGTGTGTGTGTGTGTGTGTGTGTGTGTGTGTGTGTGTGTGTGTGTGTGTGTGTGTGTGTGTGTGTGTGTGTGTGTGTGTGTGTGTGTGTGTGTGTGTGTTTCACAGGGTGTCTGGAGGAGAGCTGTTTGATTTTTTGGCTCAGAAGGAATCTCTCAGTGAAGAGGAGGCCACTCAGTTTATCAAACAGATCCTAGATGGAGTCCAGTACCTCCACTCCAAGAGGATTGTGCATTTTGATCTAAAGGTACAACCTGCTCCTTATCTTGTGTAAATACATGTATATTAAAGTATGTCTTATTATGATGATATCCTTTACCCCCACCTCTACTGCACTGTATACGTACCATGTCAAAGATGGCAGGTGTTTCATGTAGCTTTGTGACGGAAGAGTCTCGCTATCTCGAATCGCACATCCTTCCTGTTCTCTGTGGCTGAAGTCCAGACTCTCAGATAAAGGCACCACAGGGTTGTCTCCTCACTTTCAGAGAGCACTGTCACGCACGCTGCTGATAGTCACTGTCCTGTTTTCCAGCAGCTGAAGCTCCTCATCACTTTTAATTATTTTAGTCTGGCAATTAAGGAAAAAGAACACGTGAAAGGCTTAATTCCAACCAGCCAGAGGCCATGAACTTTAGTCCACAATGAACCATCTGTGCACTCATTTATGCTTTGCCTTTTCCGTGAAATCAGGTTAATAACCAGTTTAGGGAATGGTTGAAACCGTCTCTCCAGTCAGTGTGGACTTTATAGAGCTTGTAACTTTTATATTAATTTAGAGGAACTTACCTACGTACAACACGTGTGTATGTGCTGAACTTTTTCCCAGCTTTGTGTTAGTTGGGATCTGTAACTTCCTGTAGTTGTCCCGACCAATAACAGTCATAATAGCATTAACTCTGTAAAGTGATTTGTTCTCACTATTACTTTTAGAGGGATTGAATAAAAAACTTAACTTATCTTATTTAGCTAAGCTTACATTTAGAGGTGCAAAAGATGTAGTTATTTCTTGACGGAGCCAAACCAGCTGCATGGGGAAGCTTCCTGTTTTGTGTACAAACATGACTGTGATATCAATCTTCTCTTTGCTATCTCTCGACAAGAATGTGATTAACCACATTTTCAAGATGTGGTTTGATATTTGTATCTTTCACGCTTACAAGAAAGAGTGTAACCATTTCAATTTCTTTTTTAATGCTTGCACAAAAGGTCGTTGACGCATGCAGGTAACTTGTTTTAATGTTTATGAATCGCCAAACCTTGGTGTCAGTAGAAATCTGCTGACAAATTGTCCTGTGTTTTTCTTTGTTTGCACTTAAGCCTGAAAACATAATGCTGCTGGACAGGAACCTTCGTCTACCTCGCATCAAAATTATAGACTTTGGACTGGCACACAAAATAGAAGCAGGGGCAGATTTCAAAAACATTTTTGGAACCCCTGAATTTGTTGGTAAGTGTTTCAATATGCGATGTGTTTGCAATGAAGGACATTTTAAGAGGAGGCTTGGTGTTGGCCTAGCGCTGTTTGTGAAGCAGAGTGTGTCTATTTTCAGCTCCAGAGATAGTCAACTATGAGCAACTGGGATTGGAGGCAGACATGTGGTACGAGCTTTTAATTACCTCTGACTACTGCCATCCATACACGCTGCACTGCATAACTTTAGATTAACATTGTGCTGTTTGTTCACAGGAGCATCGGAGTCATCACATATATACTGTAAGTTGGTATGATTTGTGATTGGAAATTGGAAATCTGATTATACATAAAGAGACTTTGAGGATGGTCTAAGTGAGTGTGTGTATGTTTTTCCAGTTTGAGCGGTGCGTCTCCTTTTCTCGGTGACACGAAGCAGGAAACGCTGGGAAACATCTCGGCGATGGACTACGAGTTTGACGACGAGCTGTTCAGCAATACAAGCGAGCTGGCCAAGAGCTTCATCAGTCAGCTCCTGGTGAAGGACACGAGGTAAATAACTGATTAACAACTTCAGGCCTAAGGTGAGGTCAGACAACTCCATATAAAGCCCAGTATTAGAGGACTCTCTGCATTAAAGTGCAAATAATGTGCACATAATATGCAAACCTGATCCAACTGAATGAAATGCCACAGAAATCTAAAGCAAGGATATCATTCAGCTTATTTGTTTATACAATAGGATATTTGAACAACAGGCTACATAGTTAACTGCAAAGTAAATAATAATTAAAAGGATGTTGTGTCGTTCCTTGCACAATGTGATCTTCTTGCTTAACATGTTTTCTTATTCCCTTATTAAAGTGTGTATACTCAGTCTGCTTTGCGTGTCATGGAGTTGTTTTGGTGTATTTACTGAGAGCCATTTTCCTTCTATCATCGCTTCAGAAAACGGATGACCATACAAGAGGCCGTCAACCATCACTGGATTAAGGTATGCGCTTGATGTATGCGATTATAGCATGTTTTTGTTTTCTCAATAACTAACTCCTGCTACATGCTAAAACAACACTTAACAGTTGATGTCAAAGGTAACACCAGTGTACAGGTTTGTTTCTCATTGAAAAGGAAAATCCATCTTGTAAATGTGCATGCTCACAAAGTTCATGCACTAACTTGATTTACTTTGTATCTAGCTTGTTGAAAATATACTTATCACAGTCACTGTATATTGTTTCCATCACTGTACCACACCCTCTCCCTGAAGATATAAGTACTTAGACTTTGTACTGTAAAAGCATCAATAATACAATGAAATACAAAAAAGTACAAAAGTATTAGTAGTCAAATATACTTAAATAAACAAAAATATACACATTAGATACTTTTATATATATATAAAGGTAAAAAGTAGTTTTTATGCAGATTTCAGAATAATATATACTTCATATTATTATTATTAGTTGTATTATTATACTTTGTTCTCCACTGGTTGGTCTTAATTTATTTGTTGTTTATATTTTGTTTAGTTAATCTACATCTGCAAATTAATTAAGTGGAGTAAAGAATACAATATTAATATATGTAAATACTAATATAGAGATGTAGTGGAGGAACTATAAAGTAGCAGTAAAGGGAAATAGTCCATTTAAGTACATCAACATTTTACTTAGGTACATGTGGTAAGTTTCTCTCCACCTCTACACACTTTTCCAGTCTGACATTTTGTCTAGAAATTCAAGCGATTGAACTAAATCATCAAGGTGACACTACTTGTGGTATTTACCGGCATGGACATTTAACAACCTCTGTAATGTTGAAGATGTCTACTCCAACATTAGCTGCAGAGATGCATGTGAATGGTGTTTGCTCCGGAGTCTTCGTCCTGTTTGGATTTAAGCATGAAGCCAGGAAACACGACATCCTGTACAGGAATGTCTGTTGTGTTTTTGTGGCACTCTTACCTGCCATGGCTTTCACTGTAGGGTCACACACTAACCCTGCAGCGCCACATCTGCTGGGATATTCATCGCTGTGTGTGTTTTCAAGATGCAACAATGAGACAGCCTCTCACTCAGTGTCCCCCTTCACCCTTCTGTCTGAAGTCCTGCGACCACATGGAAGAGGAAAGCACTGCCCCTGAGGCTGAGAAGAAAGTGGAGCAGCTGAAGACTGAGCGGCTAAAGGAGTACACCATCCAGTCCCATTTCACTATGCCCCAGAACAACACGTACGCCAACTTTGAGCGTTTTGCACATGTGGTGGAGGACCTCAGTCTGATGGAGACAAGGCTGTCAGAGGTGTCAGAAGCACGGCACACTCTGCAGGGCGATGTAGAGGCGCTCCTGTCCATCTACAACGACAAGGAGGCCTGGTACAAGGAGGAGAGCGAGACTGCAAGGAAGCAGCTGTCTCAAGTCCACTATGAGTTCCGTAAAGTGGAGGCAACCAGGAGGCTGCTGCAGGAGGACGTGAAGATTATCGATGCCAGTCTGGAGAGCATCAGTGGGAAGTACAGCCACAGGGAGAGTCAGCTGGACGCTCTGAGGCAGGAGCTGAACTCTGAGCTGCAGTGGCTACAGGAGGTGATGAGCCCTCTGCATCCTGAAGGAGCCAACGGCAGCATCCTCAGCAGCAGCATGAACACGGACGTGAGGCAGTGTACACCAGTCCTGCAGGAGGCAGCTGCATCCTGAGGACAAACAGACACTCACAGAGTCTGGCTAACTAACTCTTATTGACCTTAAACATCTTTTGAAAATGTTCAACCCCTTTTTTTTTAGCTGCACAAACGTTCGAATGTATATGTGAATGTAGTCTTTACATTTTCTTTCTTTATATATTTTTATTTTCTTGATTGAACTCTGTAATAAGATTCTTTTAAAAAATATATCTGTAAGAGTAGGAAGATTAAAACAAGGAAATATGCTTTTTTTCATTTTTGTTTAAAGTTAGATGTAAAGATGGATGGTACTTTTGTATCTGTTCAGTAACTTTCAAGGTACAGGCAGAAGATGATAATCTTTGCTGCGTTCAAATACTGAAAACAGTGGGAAACGGCTAGCCTTGCTCTAAATAAAAATATATAATCTTAAATTAGCATAATTGTGGCACAATTGTTGTAAAATCTAAGTGATACTTACTGATGATGATGCTCTTATTTGATTGAGCAGGTTTGAAGTCATAAATATTAGTCATGAAAGTGTTTACTGTGCAAGGGCCAGAGGAGGACACAGGATTACACATCCAGTTGTTATTGAATGTATCAAAAGGGATTTATTTTTTAATTGATTTATTTTTTTATTATTTTCCAATTATAGGAATGTGTATTGATTTGCATATTGTCTATTTCACAAAGGTTATGCATTTGTAAAGTTAAATGTGTTATTGTATTAATTAGTTTTTCTTAACGATTGTTTTAACAGATGTAATGTGCACTTTTACTAATAATTTAATTGAATTTATTTATTTTTAAAAACGTTTGCACTTCTTTCTTGGAGATATTTTGTGAGATGACAGGAAATACAACATCTATGATAAGACAACATGTGTTTCACAATGTGTCACCTCTTTATCAGTGTCAACAGATGTACATGACTGACACTTTTTGGACTTTGATGTGCACACTGACATTTTTCAATGTTGTCTAAAAAAAGGAAATAAATTATCACCATTTTATTTGTACTGTATCACATTCTTGTGATTTGTGATTTTCAGTATATTACCTGTGGTACCTTAGATTATAGTGATACATTTTGTCATTTGACATTAACATGTAAGATACTACCTCTGTTATTTTATTCCTCACTGTGTCTCTGCAGCCGAAGGATACCAGGCAGGCCATGGTGAAGAGGTTGTCTGTGGTCAACTTGCAGAACTTTAAGAGACAGTATGCCAGACGCAGGTGGAAGGTAAGTAAACAGTTAGAAAATGTCCTTAAAGCAGTTCATGATGTCACTTGATAATGTCACTTCATAATGTTTCAAGACTAATTATCTTTGTTTTCATCTGTTCAACAGCTGTCATTCAGAATTGTGGCTCTGTGCAACCACTTAACGCGGATCATGAAGAAAGGCAACAAGCTGCCTGAGCAGGACGGGGTAAGGACTCACAGTATTAAAGCTTAAAGCTCTGGCTCAGTCTAGAAATGTCTTTGCATTTTTTATTTGCTTCCTGCCTGAGAGTTAGATGAGGAGATTGAAACAACTCCCACGTCTGCACAGTTTATGAAGCTACAGCCAGCAACTAGTTAGCTTAGCTTAGCATAAAGCCTGGACACTAATTGATTTCTAGCATCATTGACTTCCTGGAGTCTTGTTATCACTCTGAGGATAGGAAACCAATGAAGGCTTCAGGAAATCATTCTTCCCAGCCAAGGAATAATCCAGCACAAAACCCCCTCGTAAAACACAGATTTTGAGTTTGCACTAAACAAACAATTAATAAGGTTGCAATTTGTGTATGTGAGGTGCTGGTCGGTGTTACATTCAGACAATGCTAGGCTAGCAGTTCCCCCATTTCCTTTATGCTAAATTAAGCTAACTGGCTCCTGGATGTAGCTTCATATGCCTACTGTACTTTTAGAAAAAGAGTGGTATCAATCTTCTAAAACTGAGTCTCAGTTAGAAAACAAACATTTATGTTACATTTTAGAGTAACTGTGATGTTTCATGTTGGAAGTTTTGTTCTGCAGAACTACTGAATTTCCCCACGGGGATTAATAAAGGTCCATGTTATCTTATTTTATCTTCTTTGCAGTATTGATGTGCGCAGTATAACGCAGGGAAATTAGTTTTAAGTTGGATATTCAGTCTGGTTTCTTTCTCAGTTTCACAGAATCTGGAGTGAATGTCTGTTGAATATCCAACTCTGAGACTGTACCTTGTTGGTATTTGCTGGTGTTTTGCAGCGACCGAGTAGTCTAGATCAGTAGTTCTCAACTGGTGGGTCGCAACCCAAAAGTGGGTTGCAGATGTGTGACTCCGGAGTGAAGAAAAAAAAATTGAAAAAGAAAATTCTTTGTTGGACTGAAAGTACCGACCATAAACGGTTTTGAAAACTTCGGTCACGTAGTGATCATCTTCTCAATAAAACATCTTTGCTGATGTTTTTTCGAGTCTTCTGGCCAATCAGAATCAAGATTGTTGCCGGAAGTCCCCACGGAGAATAACTTTGCGGTAGAACTACTCTTTATACATCCATGGGTACAATTTCAGATAAAAATGAACGCATAATGAAATATGACCCCCGGTTTGATGATTGACAGGTCACAGAACAATGGGGGCTATCTACCCTACCCACAATTTACAGTAATTCACACAGACTATTTCCTCTTTACTCTTCTCTCTGTGTGGAGCAGCAAGTTCAGCTGTCAGAACAAAGTGTAAAACAAACAATTGCATAAAATATTATTAATATGTCGGGTAGTAATATATTTATTTATTTTCATCTCAGAGTGTACCAAAATGCGTAGTTTATATGTTAGTATTTCTAAAAATCTCCTGGGGGCAGCATATGTGCCTTTTTATGTTATACAGTTCAGCTTTGATTCCATCATCTCATTAAACCTTATTTAAAAGCATTCTTCAGTTCTGTGAAGGGATATATGCCCTATAGGCTACTTCACTTTAATAATGTATGCTGAAAAGCGTATATATTACAGCCCAATTTTTTGTTGAATAGATTTGAGTGGTTCAAAATTTCGGGTCGCGATTGATTGACAAAGGAAAAAGTGGGTCCAGAGGCCTGACCAGTTGAGAACGACTTGTCTTGATAACAGATTTTGTTTTAAAAACAATTATTTAATTGTTAAAAAATGTTGAGCTCATAAAACTGTGATAACCTGTCCCCACACATCCATTTTACTGCTGTTTCTCAACCTCAATATGTTGATTGTTTCAGAGGGATTGTGATAGTGACCAAGAGGAAGACATCCCGAAGAGGAGACCGAGGGGCAGAAAGAGAAGCAGCACTTCCTGAGAGCAACAAGGGCATAATTTGACATGTTCCTGTTGCAAAACAGTTCATCTGCAACTTTTTGAAACACACTGTGCAGCTGTAACTTGTCATAAGAATAATGATACATTATTTGTTTGAGTTGTATTGATCCAGACAACTTGCTTGTCTTAGTGAAACACAAAACCAGCATATCATGTGTGTTGATAGCAATACATTTCTAAATTCAAGCTATCTTTTTTTGTCCTTGTTGACAGGAACTGAGAGGCCAATATTAGCACGTCCTCAAGAATGTAGGCAGCTTCCTCTCATAACTGTGGTCTTAAAAGTCTCTCAGCTGTTGTCTAACATCTGAGTATTGACAGATTTAGATATTTTTGTTGTGCGGTCTGCATATGTGGATGTAAAATAATGTGTGCAAAGCACTGACAGAAAAACAATATGGTAAACAAATGTTTACATGTTGTGCTTAACATACAGCAATATCTCTGTTAAGAGACTGTTTTTATTAACATTTTCATTTGCCATATCACAATAATGGGCCTGTACACTATACAGTGTTATCTGTTTACTGTATTGAATATAGATTATTTTAAATTACTGTCAAATACTTGTCACCAATGGGGCATATTAACATAAAAAAACATTTTACTGTTGTTTTTTTAAAACCATTTTTAGGCCTGATGTATTTATCTTGTAAATATACATACAAATCGGAAGTTAATGTCTTAATTTCACTGTTATTTGAACTTTAGCTCAGTAAAAGAAGCAACAATGTATTAAACAGGTCATTTTTAGTTAACTTGTATGTACTGTATGTATTGTAAATTCTAATTGTGTTAATAAATTAATGAATATGACTTTTTGTGAGTTCAATTAAGTGAAAAGAAAAAACTATGTCTCCATCAACATCTTATTAGTCATTCCCTCGGGAGCTATTTGGGGTTGAATATATTGCCAAAGATCACTTTGAGGTTGACTGCAGGAGCTTGGGGTTCGAACCATTGACCCTCTGATTTGTAGATGCCCATGTAGCCCCATATCCACAGACACCCCCCTATTGTTGTGAAAATTCAACATTTTATTAAATGAAAATGTCCTTTCCTTTGAATATCTTCCATGTCATGTGATCAATTGACTCTAAATCAATGCAGCATTGTATCACTACACTGGATAAGTAGGACACCACTCTTATATTTAAATGACTAAATTACTTTCTATTTGATATGATTATTATTGTAAAAATAATCTGCAGTTTTAGAACTTCCTACGAGACATGTCGTGCCCCAAGCCAATGTTTGTTGAACCAAAATAAGATAAAACACAAATACCACCTGCACTTTGTATAAAACATCATTATCTCAACATCAATGAGCACTAATTGTGATAGTGAATTTTCCCCTGGGCACTGATCCATTATTTAGCCTCACAAGAGAAATATTGTTTGAGCCCAGTTGGGCTGAACGAGATTGGAGGGATAATTTGACCTGATCTAAATACACTTTTGGCAGAGACACGATGTAGGCCAGTTACAGACTTATGCTAAGAAATTGGGTCTGAAATATGTGAGCCTGTTTGTCCTCCAGTATCAGAATAAGAACACAAGCCAGTGTTGCAAATTAAGTATAAGGGGTTTAAAGATATATTTATACTGCCGCTAAATAAAGTTGGGTGACTTACCAAAGACACATAACAAAGAGAATGTTATTAATAAAACAACTGAGGCTTTAGTGTGGGAAAAGCTCCAAAACCACAGAATCTTGCATTTCCCATAATTCAACCAATCATTTCAATTCATTTGACCATCCCTTCCTAATAAACACCCACATCTTTCTCATTCTTAACTCCCTGACCCCAGTTTAATATGTAGTCTTCGAGCTGAAGCAGACTCAACCCTGTTGACATCATCAGGCATATTTTCCAGACTTTTTTATTTTGTTTATGCTCTTTAAAACAACTGTTTTCCCCAGACTGAGCAGACCTCGTCGCTATAAGAAAGTAAACTAAATTTGTGTATACAATTGATATTAATGCTTAAATCTATATGAACATGTATTTTTGTGTTTTCAGCGTATGTAAATGAACATACACAGACAGCAGGATACGTAATACACTCAATCCACAGCTTTATCCTGGATTGGGAAAAGTCTGACTGCACCTACTGTTTCCATACTACATATTTGACTATGTACTAGCATTCCTTCAATAAATATGTTAGTATACTGTGAAATATTTAAAAGGATTTTCTTTATTTCTGTTATATTGAACAATAAAAGTGTTGAAAGGTCTGTCTGTCAACACGTACACTATTGACTTCTACATCTCAAGTCCTTAACAGAGCATACAGGGACTCTCCAATTCTATAGCAATGTGTTTCTGTTTAATGACAACCTGTGAGTTACTGGCATAGGATAAGATAACAGAAAACATTTAAAGCACGCCCTGGTCACTCGTCCGTATGAAGCGACTGTAAATATTTCAGCCATGTCTCACTGAAATATGACCTGAGTCCTTTGTAGCTTTGTCATTGATGGAGAGTGAAATGACATGGCTTCCAGGCAGCCGTACAGTCTGGTCTGAAGCATCTCATGTATCAGAGTCACAGCTGGTATGTTAGAATCAATTATGTGGTGGACCAGCGACAGGGTCCGGGATCAAGGGATTCCTGGAGATTTACTATTGGGAGGATGTGATGGATGGGTCGCTTTCAAAGACAAATAAGG